AACTCTAAGGCGGCAAAAAAAAAAAAAAAAAAAAAGAAGACAAAATCCAAAGACGTGAAGAGAAAATTTGACAGGCGACGATTTGCATTGCAACAGATGTTGTAAATGTGGCAGTTACTCTTGCTGCAACTCCCTTACAACTCGAGTGCTGCTTTTTTGGCAGCTTTTGTGAAGCCCCCGAACAGCAGCCGAAAAATTGTTAATTTAATTACAACACTTGCGTTCCGTTGACTGCTGCGACGATTACCAAAGCCGCCAAGTACCAAACACATTAGACAATTATTTTCCGTTGCCACATATGGAGGGTAATGTGTGGCAAACACAGAGTCCGACAATTTGCTGTTTGTTATAAAAAATTAAAAAATAAAAACTACTACTACTACACCCAAAAACATAAAGAGGCGAACTAATGACGCCTAATGGGAAATGGCTTTTGGCGGCGGTAGGTTTTTATTTTTTATACAATTTTTTGTATCGTTTTTTGGCGTGGCACTGCAGATGCTTAGATATCAGACAAGGCAATTGCAATTGTCTTTTAATTTTTAAACCAAGAGGCTATCAGAGCTGCAAAACGGCACAGCATAGCACCATATCGACAAACGCACAATGCCCCAAGACCCCAAAGACCCTGTTGTCTAGTTCCAAGTTGCGTCAGAGGCTGGCGGCCAAACCCAGACGCCAACATGTAACTGCATTGAAATTGAATAGGAATTGGAATTGAAAATATAAATTGGCGTAGTCAATGTGCCGGGCGATGACTGTTAAAAACGCCATAAGTCATGTTCGGGGAGTGGGTCGGATAATTAATAAGCGCTCCCAATCCGTAATAAACCGTTGAGCAGTCCCAGTCCCGCAAGTTTCGCCTCGCCAGGCAGGGCTTTACATGCATAATTATATGAGCACTACTACCAGACTGGTACATCCCCTTAAATGCACACATATTCGAAATATATTCGACTGTTATGCAAACCCATCACTAATTGTAATGAGGGGGCGGGTCGGAGAAGGTTGCACTTCAGAAATACTGCTGTTGCATGGTAAACTTCAATTAAAACGATCGTATAATAGAAATTTCTTCGGTCAAAATCAAAGAAATATCCAATAAAAATAATATTAAAAATAATTACGATCGTCGATGGATTTTAAGCTTTATGTATTAAACTATTTCTTAAGTGTGCCAATGTTCATGCCTGAAAAAGTATATTTGTTTTCTCTCCAAATATATTTACTGCCGTTGATTTTTGACTGAAACACATTAAATTTACGATCGCTGGTTTATTGGCGAACTTTTGAATCGCACTAATCGCATTAGAGTCATTTTAAAACATCTTCCTTTATTACGAAAAGGCGTTTTTAGTTTAAACAAACCTTAAACTGTTCAGTTTGTTTCCTTATGTAATCTAAAAATATATTTATGAATGAAAATCAATTTAAAACCAAGTGGAATCACTAAGCAAAGTACAGAGGAAATACATTTTAGCTGAAGCTTAGGAATTGCAGCGAAATGTTACGTATACGTAACAGAAATAGAGAAATATGTGTAGAGGGTAGGAAGTGATTGTGCAAAAGAATGGCGGAAAATCGATCAAACAAGTGCTAGCCACTCAAGAAACTAAAGAAAACAATAGAAACCAAAGCTGAAAATAACGATTACTTACAGTTGAATTCGTTGAACAAACGTTTACGCATTCGTCATTGTTTGCCTGATTAAGTTGTGCCTTAAATCAAACTATGACTTTCCACAATTGGCAAACGTTCTCTGATTTATGAAACAGTTGCTGCCTGGATTTATTGCATATTCTCCTGATAATTGCTCCGGTGTCAGGCACTCTGAAGAACTACCAACTGTTTATGTTCCAACGCAAAGTGGTAGGAAGATCTCCTGCTGTTTGGTGGGAAGCTACACACATAGTGCGCTGTGTTGGCTGTCTCTAATCACTCGACAAGCCCTGCTGGCTAGTGTACCAACAGCCGACTCGAGTGGTGGGCAGCCTAATTGAGCGGCTCTGTCGCCCAGGCCAAGTGCGTTTTTCCGTTTGTCATGGCGCACAACGATGCCGAGATGATGATGATCAACCCAATTGCCATGGCGAGTAATAAAACTTGAGGAATCAGCAATGCGTGGCAGCTGTGCGGAGATGGTAGTTTGCGCCCACGACGACGATCCCAGCGATGATGATGTGGAGTTGATTGGGACGAAGTGCGACAGTGGTCGGGTTTGCAAAACGCAGTGATCAAAAATTATAGAACATATACAAAACAAGAGAGAACGCTCTAGTCGAGTACCTCGACTATCAGATACCCATTACTGAGCCAAAGGATGTGCGAGAGAGATGGAGGCACGCATGCAGTAAAGCGACTGCTTGCACTGTTTGAATTTCATTATTTTTTGATCATAACTTTTTAATGAATGGTCCGATTTGAAAAATTTCTTCTACATTCAATAGGTGTTAATAAGAACAAAAAATTCCATTCATACTTTTTCGAAATCTTTAAAGATTTAGACGCCACATCTTAAATTGTTTTTTAAGATTTCTTTTGAATTCATTTACAAAACACTTTTATTCTAATAAACTAAAAAAAAAATCAGATTTTTCTCCACTGTTCCACGCCTTCTGAAAAGCAAACCGTATCAGCAGCCACTAGGCGCAGCTTGAGAAGATACAACTTGAAAACAGTGACAGACGCCTCGTTCGAGTGACAAGGAAGCACTTGTGTCTATAGTCCATACTCTATAGCTGGATGCGAGTGAGTTGTGATTTGCATATGTGTCTCCGAAATACATTGTATGGTATGGCGCATAGGAAACTCTTTTTATTGTTCGGCCGTAGATTTGTCTGACTATTTTCCAGGCCGTGGGCCAAAAGGCCAGATCCACGAGTTAATTGAGCAATGAAACTCTGAAATCATAAAGCCAATCGAGATGCTCGAACGGATGACAGTACGCCGACATTGAGCTTAGTTTTTCTCCATTTTTTTTTATTATTGTTTTTTTGTCTTTGAGTGACAGTCAGTCGACGTTTGAATTGTTCGGTTTCAATTTCGTGGTTGACAATGGATTTTGCTATATAATTACACGATCTTCAATGTGACTTCTCCACTACTTCCCATGCTTTGATGTTCGCCACGCTCCACAGGCAAGTCGGCCAAAATAAAAAACCCCCGAAAGAGAAGAAAAAAGGGAGGAAAAGTGCATGGCGATTATGCAAGCCATGGAATTATGAGCTGTGCTTCCTGGGCCCCTCTCTGTTAATTAGCTATTAAATAATGGAATGGCCCAGCCATGTCATGTGAATGTGGGCCAATTTTCATGCTTCATTTGCAATGATTTTGCCATTAGTCTGACCAACATTTCCGACTGCCGACAAAACTCCATTGGTAGTCGGTAGTCTGCATGCAATCATCTGAGTTTTTTTCTGTTTTTCCTAGCTCACCTCTTTTACTTTTTCTTGCTGGCCGAGAACAACAGAAAACAGACAACCCAGTTGCCTGGTTTTGGCCCCTCTATTGCCACATATATATGTATATATTCATGGCACTCGCCGACGTTTGTTTGATCAATAGCTATAGCTAAAGCTAAAGCCGGCCGACAAAACGGCTGCCATGCAAATTTATGTTTATTGCATGTGAAAGTATTTTGCCAATCAATTGAGTTGCCGCCGCTCGAGAAACATTCTCGTCCAGTGAAAGCTTTCCACCCGGTTGACAAACAAATCTACCAACAATGGTGCACTTGAAGAAAATGTATTAAATATAGTAGATTAGGTTTTGGATTCTTAAAGTTTTTTTTATATTTGATATAAAATATTTCTTATATTTAAAAAAATACCGCCACTGCACTTTCGGAATACCAATTTTAATGACTAAGTGCCGATGTTTTTTGTGCAGTTCCCGTTTCTTTTCCAGAGCAGATGCTGGAGAAGAGGAAAATAGAAGTGAACAGACAAAATAAAGAGAAAAACTACTTTTACTTGGCCCCATCGACCATCTGCGGCCTGTTCTAGTTTTGTAAGACAGTCGGTTCAGTCCGTTGACTTGGCCTGCGTTGAATAGTCATGGCCTGGGCCAAACACACAGCATGATTGTCACAAATTGCTGCATCGATTGGTGTTGCAGCTACATATGTTGCTGGTTGCTAGTTGCTAGTTGCATGTTGCCGGCGTGCATGCAGCGGCTGCATTAAGCTGCACTTTTGCTACAGTTTTCTCCACGGGTCGCCGGCCAGCGGGCGATCGCTCTCCCGAGCATTGCAATTCATCAATCATAATTTGTATGTCATTCACTAATCGTTCGCACTGCTTCCGAACTCCTTGTCCAGCGATTGCCCCACCATGATGATCAATTCAATTTACTTAAAGTAACGCAATGTGGTGTTTTCTCTGCAGTAATTATCGATCCCACTGGGACGTAAAGCCCTTGCGTAAAGCCCCTTGATAATGACTTGTGGCGATGTAAGCTGATCTTGGGGCCTGGCTGAAAGTGCAGCCCATCGCACTTGACCATCAAAATCCGAAACAACAATGATTCATGGGATTTTCTCATCTTGTGCGTTATCACCGAGTATTGGTAAAGAAAAGTTGTTCAACTTGGGAAACGTTTTATGTTAATTGATGATCCATAGAATATTTCACAATTTTGCAGTGTTTTCAACAATTTATTAAGAGTTTTTTAGGTTATTATTTTCCCATTTATAAATTGAATTTATTAATGGATGAGTTTAAACTGAAAATAGATACAAAATGGCTGGGAAACTTGAGCTAGCAAACGGAGGGCATAAAAGATGACTGGTTAGCCCTGAACGTTTGTTAATGGAAAAATAAATTTACATTTAATATTTGATTACATTTCTATAAAGGTTATATAACAAAAACAACACAATAATTGAAGTAAGCTTTGGAAAAAAAGCCAAAACGGGTTGGGTATAAAAATTATTTTTATTTCACCTTTTTAAGTAAGTTAGCTACCCTTCAGAATATTAAGTTTCCATTATCTCCTTACAGAATGAAGGCTTCGAACCTGCAACGCATGGCATCAGCAAAACGGACGGAAGCTGCATCAGCCACCACAGTCAGAGCAACGGGAACGGAATTGGGGGCTCCAACGGAAGCGGAAACATCGGCCACCATCTCGGTGGAGTCCTGCGCACCACTGACCTGGCCAGCGGGGCCATGGAGTGCCTGCCGATGAGCAGCGCCGCCCACCACCCACATTTGATGGCGGGTGCGTCGGGGGTCGGAGCTGTTTCCGCCTCGCCCACGGCCACCGTGGTGGTGGGGGCCACGTACCCGCACCACCTGCACCACCACCACCTGAGCCACCACACGCCCTACAGCAACAGCTACGGGAGCCATCACATCCACAGCGAGCAGACCAAGTCCCTGCAGGAGCTGCAGCACGAGGTGGGCGCCCTGCTGGAGTTCAGGGATTTGGTCATCGAGACTTTTCCCGACCTCAAGCACAAGATGGCCTCCATGTCCGCGACGCCCTCGACGCCCACATCTTCGGTGGGTGCCATGGGTGGCAGTCATTCGGTGGGTGGCGGCAGCTCCTCGTTAGCCACCAGGTGAGTTTGGGTTTTTAGAAATGTATGCATATAACAGAAAATAAATATCTTTCTCACCTCTACAGCAGACGCGAATGGGAGCCGGGCATACGTATGAAGCGGAAATTGTCGCACAAGGAACCGTCCACGTCGTCAGCGTCGGCAGCTGCCACTTCATCCGGAGCGGAGGCGTCGTCCTCGTCGCTGACGCGCAGCCGCAGCAACTCGCACAGCGGCAAGAAAGAGCCAAAGAGCGGAGAGAACAACAACGGCAGCGTTGTGCAAGACTCCGGCTTCTCAACGGAGACCAGTTCCTCCAAGGAGGGCCACAGTGCCTCCTCCACCAACGGTGCTATGACGGTGAGGATCTATTTTTCTAATGAAATAGAATCGATTCTTAATGTAACCTATTCTTTTTTAAACAGGTGGCCATAGCGGCGAATCGCCTGAGCTGTGCGGAATCGGACGATGAGCTGCTCAACCTGCTGGACGTCATCCACCGCAAGTCCAATCGCTTACGCGAAGAGGTGGAGCAGCTGCAAAGCTACGAGCGCCAGCAGGGTAATGCCCAAAAGACTGAGGGTGAGGGCAAGGGTGCGAGCAAGGATGGAATGACGCCGCAGCAGTTCCGGGAGCAGGTGGAGCGACTGAATCGCGAGGATATCAAGCAGCTGCGCAAGGAGCGCGATCGCCTGCTGGACAAGCTGGCCGAAATGGAGGCGGAGACGCTGACCGGTCGCATTAAGGCGGCCAAGATGAGCGACCAGGTGGAGGAGCTGGTGGGGGTGAAAAAGGATCTCGAGGAGCAGTTGAAACTGGCGATGGCCCAGAAGCTGGAGCTGAGCTCGCGAGTGCAGCAGTTGCAGCAGCAGCAGCAAAGCAAGAGCTCTTCCAGGTAAGAATAATATATGACTTTTAAAAATATATTTTAACATTTAACATTTTTTCAGCGCCAGCCAGTCGGATTACTCCAGTCAACGCAACTTTCTATCCTCAGCCACCACGGTGCTCTCCAATGGCAGTCGTCCCAACAGCAACAACACATTCCAGCCGGTCGTCCTCGATCAGCCAGCGCAGGAAGCATTCCATCAAAGCTCAGGCAGTGATATAACATTGAGGAAGCAGCAACAGCAACAGCAATCCTTGGGGCGACTTGATGGCATCGTGAGCACGCCCGGAACGCGCAACTCCAAGTGCCGTTTGACCGACTCCAAGCGATTCGCGGCCATTCTCCTAGAGACGAATGTTCTGGAGCTGCAGCGCCACCTGCTCACCCTCACCGTGCAGAACCAGGTGCTGGCCCAGAAGCTCGAGTCGTCCAGCAAGTCCAAGACGCTGCTGGCCAAGCGGCTGGACAAGAGCAGCGAGGAGTTCGAGCATCTGCGCTACCAGCTGGAGGAGAAGAGCATCGAGCTGGAGGGCACCAAGGCGCAGTTGCGACTGGTGGAGTCGCGCCTGCAGGCAAACAACAGCACCAGCAACTCGTATCTGCATTCCTCGCAGCATGACTACGAGACCAATCGCTCCTCGGCTTCCACCACGCTGATGCTGAGTCGTCGCGGAGTCTCAGACTCAGTGGACTCCGCCTCGACGGCCATGCCCGCCCCGCCAGTCACGCAGATCAGTACGCCGAGCATGAAGGCCATGGTGCCGCTGGCCATGGACGAGCTGCAGCAGCACAGCAGTAGCACGGAGTCGGCGCACGAGCACGAGAATCCACAGCTCCGTACGCCGAACAGCACCAGCTCCCCGCTAAGCAAGACGATGATCAACGCGAGTCCGCCGTGTCCCGTGGGCAGCAGTACACCCAGTAATATCGCCGCCCGTGTGATGAGCATCAGTGTGGGCGGCGTCAGTCCGTTTGAGTCCGGCATGACTCCGCCGCCGCGACAGAATGCCTTCCGAAAGTTCGGAAGTGCCAGCAAGCCCAGCAAGATTCCGCTGCCGGGCAGCAAGGCGGCGGCCTATTTTTCCGGCAAACCGCCAACGGGACGGCCTTCGACGGCGGGACGCTCTCCGCCATCGGCGCACAACTCCAGCAGCACCTCGTACGGCAGCAAATCCTCGCTGAGCAGGAGCACTGGTAACCTGCAGAGCTTGCGGAGAGCCGACACGTCCGCCTCCAACCATTCGCTGAGCACGAACACGAGCCGCAGTTCGACCTCCTCTTCGATACCGCTGGCCACCACACCTTACTCATCCGGCTCGACTGGCAATCGCAGCCAGCCGATGGCCGCAACGACTCCGTCCCCGCGTGTGCTCCAGAATTCGCCGCTGCCCAAGCTGAAGCGAGATACGATCAGCTCGAGGGTGCGTCATCTGGACTCCCTGTCACGTGCCCAGCAGTCGCCGGAGGGCGTAAGGGGCAGCTCCACCACCACCTCCATTGCCGCCCAGCTCAGCTCGACGCTGCGCAAGGATCTCCAGCTGAGTGGCAACGGAACGGGGGCGCCCTATCATCATCAGCAGCAGCACCACCACCAGAACCACCGGCGCAGTGGCCACTCGCCGGCGTCCAACTCGTCCGGCAGCGGCGTGTCCCGGCGGTACAGTAGTGCCTCGACTGGGGGCTCCGGTGGCCGAGCCATCGGCCGGGATCTGGGCGAGAACACCACGCCCACTTCCAGCTATGGCGGCGACAGTGACAGTGGCAAGGTACGCACTCTCAAATCAACATTATTGGGTTGGTTCAAGTGAATTATTATAATACTACTGATAATACCGATACATACATTTATATATATGAATATCTACTGAATTCCGTTTAATATGCCTTCGATAACGTTTACGAAACAACAAAGAACCACAAGAATCATCATCCTCGTTACAGTTAATGAAATCAAATCAAAACAAGAATAGAACTCAGAAGCATACGAACCCAATATTAACTGTCCACGTTAATATACATAGTAACGTGCATATATATTTATTTAAACATACAATTAACCCACGGCATATATATACTCTACATACATATATACTACAGTTACATGCATATATATTCGAAATTTAAAACCAATCGATCACGTAAACGTCTCGTGCCTCAGCAAGGAAATATGTTCTCTGCCCTCGTTGTTTGTCCTTTATTTCGTTAGCTGTGTATTGCGATGAGAAAATTCCACAATTTTCAACAGAAAATAGATCACTTAAAAATATTATTCCATCGACGGAAACAACAATTGATTTCTTGTAGTATATGTCTACAATTTAATTAACAATTGCTTGTTATTGTAGTAAAGTTCTCAACAATCTCCCATTGTTGAATATTTGTTGAGGATTTAAATTTGTTTTCAAAACGCATTACAACTTCATTAACTTGTATCCAAAATATATTTCGTTGTTATTTTTATTTTGTTATTTTTGTTTTTTCAAAAGAATTTCAAGCCACTTCTTGCCATAGCAACGTCAGCTTTATGAAGATGAGTTTTCCCCAAACCAAAACCTTCGACAAATCAATTCTCCAGTCCAAGAATGGTCAACACACCTCACAAGTCTCAACAGTATGTTCAATATTCCGCACCCTAGAATACCGTTTTAAGACCCTACTGCTTTTGCTTCGGGTTTGGGTCGTTGACTTAACACTTGGCTAGTGAAAGGTGCCTCCTATCAAACTCTCACTGCCTATCGATGCCTTAGGTGCTCAGTAGCCGGCTTTAATTAATCAGCAATTTCACATGCAACTACAGCAACACTAGCAGCGGCGGCAGCAACAACAACTGCAATGTTTCCTCTATATAGTTATGTATATAAAACGTAAAACAACAATCAAATGCCTGTACAATATCATTTCATTTACTCATATACTATGCAAATCACGATTGTTGTGGCTCAGTATATTTTCCTCAAGTATGCATGCCTCATTGTTGGATCAGCCAGTTTCTCATTGTGTTCGAAAGCGAGTTTAAGCATAATTATTAGTTTGCGTGTGTATTTAAAAATTATTATTATTATTATTGCTTTCTTTGTAATTATTATAAGCTATACTTAAACTACTTATTGGGCTTAATTTAAAGGCTAATTTATTGATTTGTGTATGAAGCAGATGGGCTTATACCAACCTATGCGCATACGCTATTACATAAAAATATAAAACCGATTAGAGTATAACAGACTTTTCTATTTATTTGTTAAACTTATGAAGGAAGAAATAAATTTCGTGTAACAAAAGACTTGCCCTAAGTTAGTTAACTGCTTGCCAGCAAACATATCATTATAAGAACCTGCAAGGAATCTGGTTTTATCATATGGCTTGAATGTATTTCGAAGATAGTCCTTTATATCATCACGTGGTCGATAGCTCATCCGCAGATCCAACTAACCAAACACTCTCATCCACATTTACACCAGGACAAAAACATACACCATCGACAGCATAAAGTGCTTATTTTGGCTTTGTTTGTGCATTACAAACCACCAAAGAAAAATTCCAATTAGATGATCACACTTGAAATAATTTGTATCTAATGCTGTAATTTCTTTTTACTTTTACTTTTTCTTTCTGCGCCTTTCTACCCTGTTTGTATGTCTACTCCAAAAACAAAACAAAAAATTTATACTGTCTGTTGTTGTCATAACTCACATATATACTCGTATTTTGTATATCCGAAAAACTGACCGAACCAAAAATAACCCCGCAAAAAACGTATAAATATGTATGTACATAAAAATATGTCCAACCAACCGCCCAACAACAAAACCAACCAACCAACCCAAATCCCAAAAACCACCAACAGCCCAAAATGTAACTAAAACCATTGTGAAATCAGAAACAAGCCACTTTTCCTAACAAACGCCAGGCTACACAGAGAAAATAATCATCGGAGTTGGTATGGATAGCAGATGTTACCCGTGTTTGTGGTCCTAAGGTGGTGTACTGATTGACTGATTGATTGACGTGTTGGTGGTGAATACACAAATTTCGACTGCTTGCATGCCAAAAAAGAAAAAAGAAAATAAGAACCGAAATGCGACTGGATTTTTGGTATCGGACAGCCACAGATAATGGCGATGGCCAAACGAAAAGGAGCAGCGCCCTCGCCCACAGAACATCCTCCTCAGCTCAGCTCAGATCAGCTCAGCCCCAAAATCAGCTCAGATCTCAATCTCGAGCCCTCTGTTGTATATCGTTTGTCTGTTTTGTTTTTGGCCAAGAAGCAAAGACAATGAAGTAGACACTTTGCCGCCATTCGTTATACGCGTAAGTCTCTTTTGTTGTATCTCACCTAGTAGGTTAAGCTCAACCATTTCTCCAAACCAAACCAATCCACGAATCCCCACACCGCCAACCCCACGGCTTTCTTTTGCTTACCCCCAACACTGAGTTACACCAGCAATGGTTTTTATTTCGATGTAGTTCGTAGTAGATCTAGCCTACCAAGACTATCTAGACCTAGACCCTCACCCTTTCTACAATAGCAAACGGGCAGTGCACACAAAAGAACACACAAATTTTCGATTCAACTCTTAAAATTGCCAAAAGTAAGGTAAACGAATTGAGTGACTTACACATGCTGTACATATACTGATTGGTTGATTGATTGATCGCTCTGTGCTAACCAAAAATATATATTGTGCCCAAGGTTGAGGGATCTAACCGCTGTTCAAGAGAACAACTCTCCCGCTACATGCTAACACCAAAAACTTTTGTGTTTTCCTAACGATCTTATTACCATTCTTTTCGTTAATGTGCCTAAACAGCCGTCTAAACCCCTTTCTTGTTTCTATTTTCGTTCTAATTCTCATTGCTTGACTGTGCACATTGAACCAAATATTTGATATTCTATTCTGTTTTTCTTTGCTCTCCCCGAATCCCCCGAAAACGATGCTTAGAATTTGGCCAACACCGTTGAAAAGCCAAATTTCCGTCTCAATAACCACAATTGGCAACTATGGCAAACGAGCAGCAGCAGCAGCCAGGGAAAGGTTCAAATGGAACGATATCTACCCCATGAGCTGCACGATGTGTCCGAGGAGACGGCCTACGATTCGTATTACACCGAGTACACAACGCCCGATTCCATGGACTGTGGCAGTGCCAATCTCCTGGTGACCTTCGACTATGGCTACAGTGACTCCATCGAGGCCAGAGCTGATCCTGCAGCCCAGGCTGATGATGATGATCGGGGCGAAGGCGCTGTTCCTGAATTCGGATATGAGGCGGAGGGTTCCATTTGGTTCGGCACCCCGCCGAAGGAGAAGAAGGAGGCCAAACTGTTTGAGGTGCATCATGTGCAGCACAAGCTGCTGGATGACAGCCTGCAGTCCCTGATATCCTACGACGTTGATGATTTTGAGGAGGAGCTATCGGAACCAGAGCCAGATGAAGAGATCTTCTATGACAGCATTGAGTGCGTTTAAGATACCATAGGCAGGTGGCAGGCGTTTAACTATCAACTATCATATCCAAACTAGTCTTTATTTTGAGAACCCTCTTTCACACATTGTTTTGTAATTATCGGAAGGAAAAGGATTAATATGTGTATGTAGCTGTAGTATAGTGTTATGTGACGTGTATAATGTTGATTTTAATGTATTCGGTCCAACTATCCAAGGGCCCGGCAATAAACGATTGTAACTGAAATGAATTGTGACTGAATTGGATTGATCGTAATGTTTGTTTTCCCCCGTTAACCATTCAGGGCTTTAGTCTGTACGCTTGATGGTTTCTTCGACTATTTATTAGTAGCATACGAGATGTATGCCTTACCCCCTACTTTGTATGTATTATTTAGAGTGTATCGAGTTGAATGTGTGCATCTTGTAAGAGTCTTAAGTTAGTTGTCCTGCACCATTGCCTATTTACTCAAAACTACTTTTAATTTACTCTTACTCGTAATCGTACTAGACCAGGCCGGCTAAGTAGTTTAGTTGTTAATCAAATTTAGTTAACACATTGCATCTAATGTATGTATGTACAGTTTGATATACTACGTAATTAAGTATGTATTCTATTTAAGTCGAAAGGCAAATGTAATAGGGTCTATCTATCATGTTATCACGAAACAGCGTTTACTACATTTATAATTCAAACAGACATAGAAGTGAGGGAAACCAACAATTATGATTCATATTAAAGCTAATAATAATATATATTCAAAAGGCAGCAAATGTAGACATGTATCCATTTAAACAGCAAATGTAATTGATAAACACATATAAATGAAAAAAAAAAAAAATAAAAACAATAAAAAATACAAGCCTCGACGTTTTTATTTAATATTTTGGATGTTTGGGTAAGTTTTATGAATATTATAAAAAAATAATGAATGTTCAGACTTAAAAAGAGTTTTCAGTCAAGTGAATAAATATTTCTGATTAAATATTTTCAAATCAATAAACAAATGAGATACATATTTCTTTGATAAATCCACTTTTTTATCAATCAATCAAAGTTAACGCACCGCTTGTTCGACGGGTTTTCAATGGTCGCCAAGTGGCAGAAATTGAAGTTAATTGAAATTCAAATTTTGTAAATGCAGTGCAAATTTTCAAACCGCTTTCCTCTCTCAAATGTCTGTTTTTCGAATGCCACATAATTGAATAAGAGCGCTAAAGAGTCGGAGAAAGGCAGTGGCTCTCATGTAAGCACCGCTCTCTTATTGGCACCCCAATGGGGCAGTCGGTCTCAGGCTCGACCAGTTGGCTATGTGCGCTCCGTGCCACCAGAACTTTTTCGGAACGGGTTTCGGCTGCGTTCAATAAACCCAGACCCTCGAAAGGCACTCGGTTCGGGACTAATAAACCGATTTTAAGAACCAGCTGGCGATTAACTGACTCCGCGAAACCTCCATAAATGTCAGAACCCGCAGATATGCGCTTATCGCAGCACTGCGAACGCCGCTGAAATTGGGGGCCGCAAAATCTGATATCAGCAACATGGATTTCGAGGAGATTCTAGCCAAGTGCGGCAACAACGGTCGTTATCAGTTTCTATTGCTGGCGCTCTATGGCTACCTCATGGTTGTCGTATCAATGCACTATTTCTCGCAAAACGTCATTAGTTTTGTTCCCGACCACTGGTGCTATCACGAACAGCTGGAGAATCGCAGCTTCGCCGAGATCGAGGCGATATATTCGCAGTTTGAAAGGCCCTCGTGCACGAGACTGGAAAAGATTGATGAGGATGGGCAAAATCATACGCTGAGCACAGAGCGCTGCAATCGGTGGATCTACAAGTACGACTTTGGATATAGAAGTATGAATACGGAGGTGAGTTTACTTTGTTATTTGAGGGATGATACAAATATTTTAAAACGATGTGTTTTTTATGAAATGTGTATAAAGAACTAGAAAATTTAGAGGTCAGTTTCTATCTGTGGTAAAAAGTTTTTTACTCAGAGTATTCATGCCATAAAAAAGTTAATAGGATATTCTTATTTCCTGTCCTGTTTTTCCCATAGAATTGGGTCAACAAAAACGAGGTTTGAGATCTTAAAGTTTACAGGTAGTTAAAATAAAATTGTACAATGAGAAATTCGAATTTTTATAAACTTTCAGCTAAACTGGGTGTGCGATGAGGCTTATAAGCCACGAGTGGGTCAGTCGCTGTTCTTTGTGGGTTCGGTGTGCGGAACTCTGATCCTTGGCCTCCTTGGAGATCGAATAGGACGCATTAAGGCCTTGATTTTGGCCAACTGGTGTGGCTTCCTTGGCGATTTCTCGACCATATTCGCCAACAGTCTGGTTTCGTTCTCAATCAGCCGTTTTGTATCTGGATTGGCGGCCGATGGCAACTCTTATCTCATGTATATACTGAGTAAGTAATGGATAGAATGTATTTCGAAACGACTTAATCAATTGGTAATTTTTTACAGTTCTCGAATATGTTTCACCCTCCTTGAGAAACGTTGGTCTTAATACGGTTTTGGGAAGTTTTTACTGCCTTGGCTTAATTGGAGCCTCCTGGCTGGCCGTTTGGGTGGGCCACTGGCGCATTTTCCTGGCCTGCTCCTCGTTTCCCCTCCTGCTGGTTACTCTTTTCTACTTCCTCGTCCAGGAGAGCGCCCAGTGGCTGGTGACGCGCAACGATATCGATGGAGCCATTAGGAGACTCCATCGTGTGGCCAAGATCAATCGTCGCCAGGTGGCCGATGATGACTTCAGGACATTTCGTAGCTACTGTGAGCAGCACTATCGCAAGGATGTAAAGGAGGAACAATGTCAAGTTAAGCTGCTGGACATGCTGAAAACGCCGCGCATGCGCAGCACGGCATTTAAACTGCTGCTCATTTTGTAAGTAATTGAAAAGTATGTTCCCGTAAAATCGATATGGCCATGTAAATTTCAGGTCATGATAAACCCATATCGTTTTTACATAAAATTCTCTGTTCGACCGGGTCAAATTTATCTGGCCCCATATCAAATTAAAATTGATCTTAAATAATGTAAAATCGATCGACGTTTCATATCGATTTTTTTGGGTGCATATATTTACAGCGGTAGACTGTTTAAAAAATATTTTTTTTCAGTTTCCATTCATCAAGAAATTACAATTAAAGTTATTTCATATATTGATAGTAATAGTGATTGGTATTTATTTTATCCTCAGCATAATTATCACGCCCTGCTACAACACCATCGCTCGAAACGTAGAGGGTCTGGGGATATCGCCCTTCATCATGTTCTCGTTAAATGCACTTACCCTGCCGCCCTCGGGATATCTACAGGGTCTGCTGCAAGATCGGCTTGGACGCAAGGCCACCGCGGTCAGTTGGATGACCATCACAGGACTGTTTGCCGCCGCCGCTGGTCTGGTGATATCGCAAGGGAGCAATCAGAACGTGGTGCTGCTAGTGGGTCTAACATTGGCGGCCAGATTTGGTGTTTCCATCGCCGATGGTGCCAGCTCGCAGTTCTCCACCGAGCTAATCCCCACCAGCGTGCGGGGAAGGGGAGTGGCGGTGGTGCATGTGGCTGGATTTGCCGCCTCCTTTCTCTCGCCGTATATCCTTCACCTGGGTACTTACTTCAAGCCAGCTCCCTCGATTATCTTGGGGCTTCTTTTCCTATCGGGAGCTTACGTGTGCCTGCTGCTGCCCGAGACTCGCAACAAGAAACTTCCCATGTCCTTGGCCGAAGGAGAGGAGTTCGGTCGGGGAGAGGGTATATTTGACTTTCTTACAAACATGTTGAAAGGAAAAAGCAAAGAGACCGCGGTCGAAATGTGTACCAAGGAGGAGGACACTCTGATGACTAAGCCTGTTCAGCAGTAGGTTGTATTGTAATAACATCTTGTTTAAAAAATTATGAATTTATACGAAAACTGTATTATATTTAAAATATTTTAATATAATTTTCCAGAAACCTTGATCCTGACTTTGAATTCTTATATCTTAAAGCTACGTAATGCTCTAAACTTTGCATAACCCGATATGCAGCTTGTACAGTATTTGAATTTGGCTTTTAAGAACTTAATAGGTTTTGGAATCAACTGAATAGTCACACCACTGTTTTTGACTGGCTGTAAAGCGTTTAGCATCGACGAAACTGTCTGTATAAATTAGCAGTAACATAGTTGTATATTTTGAATAGTAGATTGGCGATTACAGCGATGATATGGGGGACAACAAAGTCGCTTATCAAGCATAATAATTAAATCAGAACGTCTAAGTTATGATCGAATCGGCCGTCTCGTTCAACCAGCTGAGGCGGCGGAGACTTATCAGCTGCGGAGAGCCAAGGCACAAGAGTCGTTTCAACTATTCAACTCCAATATCAGTTTACCGCAGCCGCTTTCACAAAGCGCTCTTAACTATTCGATAGAGGCGGCGGTGGCAGAGCGGACCGATTACCGGAGCGGACTGGACTGACGACGGCACTGGTACTGGTACTGGGTAGTATGTGCGTGGCAGCGGAAGAGAGCGGACCGCCTAAGTCAGATATTTTTTTGGGTGCCGTAGAAGTGCATCTCCGGATCTTTTGGCCATGGACTTTGAGGCGATACTGGGCAAATGCGGCGACTCCCATCGCTACCAGTACATGCTGTTGGCTCTCTACGGTCTCCTGATGTTTATTGTTTCCCGGCAATACTTTGCCCAGAGCGTCATTAGCTTTGTGCCCGATCACTGGTGCTATCACGAACAGCTGGAGAATCGAAGCTATTCGGAAATCGCTGCAATCTACGCCCCATTCAAGAAACCTTCGTGCACGCGACTCGCGTCGATCAACGAGGATGGGAGCAATGCCACTGCTAGCAATCAGCCCTGTAATCGATGGATCTACAACTACGACCATGGTTTTAGAAGCATGAACGCTGATGTGAGTCCCTGTTCGGGCGCCACCTAAGAGCACTGAATTTAAGAGTATTTCTTGTTTACCCCCAGCTGAATTGGGTGTGTGATGAGGCGTACAAGGCGCGAGTGGGTCAGTCCCTGTTCTTTGTGGGCTCCATGTGTGGCACCCTGCTTTTTGGACTACTCGGCGACCGAATCGGACGGATCAGAGCCGTGGTTTTGGCCAACTGGTGCGGCTTCCTGGGCGATTCGGCCACCATTTTCGCTGAGAGCTTGGTTACCTTTTCAGCCAGCCGGTTCGTATCTGGTCTGGCTGCTGAGGCCAACGCCTACCTGATGTATATTCTGGGTATGTTATCATTATACAGCTCTCGGGACTTATCTGGTCTTAATTTACCTCCAATTTAACAGTGCTGGAGTACGTCTCGCCAACGATGCGAAGTGTGGGCCTAAACCTGACGATGTCTGTTTGGTACTGCCTGGGCATGATAAGTGCCTCTTGGCAGGCCGTCTGGCTGGGCGGTTGGCGCTCCTTCATGGCCTGGTCAGCGCTGCCCCAGCTGCTGGTCACCGTCTTCTATTTTCTGGTCCAGGAGAGCGCCCAGTGGCTGGTCACGCGCCACGACATCGATGGCGCCGAATTGAGGCTGCGGCGGGTGGCCAAGTTCAATAGGCGCGAGGTCAGCGAGGCGGACTTTGAGCAATTCCGCCAGCATTGCAAAACAAAGGAGTCCGAGGCCAGCAGTCAGGTATCCATGCAGAAGCAGTCACGTCTGATCGATGCACTCAAGCTGCCTCGCCTGCGCCTCAGACTGATCTACGTGCTGGTTGTGTTGTGAGTAAATTAGACGTGAATTTTTTATTATAAGGAATTCTAGAATTTAATTTTTTATGTATGTGAAAATACGTTCTCAACCAGAGGTACAGTGGTAACCCATCGGGTACAAATTTTCTCTGCCGATCCTCTGCCAACACACACAGACATGTCCTTAAAAATTCCGTAGTTTGAATTGTGATAATATTTATGATAATTACCCTTCTAGTATTTCCCTATTTAAACTATTTTTCTTCTTTCTAGCTCGATAACAGTGCTCTGCTACAACACGATGTCCCGCAATGTGGAAGGCCTGAGCATATCGCCATTCGTCATGTTCACCCTTTTCGCCCTGACTTTGCCACCTTCGGGGATCTTTCAAACCCAAGTCCAGAAGAACTTTGGACGCAAGTTTACCTCAGTGATCAGTATGACAGCCACTGGAGTGATGACCGCGGCCACTGGGATTTTGCTAACCTTTTGGACCCAGCCCAGTGAAACGGTTATGGTGTGCCTCCTGCTGGTATCCCGATTCGGGATCTCTGTGATCACGGGATCCACCATGCAGATATCCGCTGAGCTTATGCCCACCTGCGTGCGATCCAGTGGCCTGGCGGTGATCCACGTCACGGGAGCAGCCTTCTCCTTCCTCTCGCCATTTATTTTGCATCTGGACACCTATTTCCGGGCTGCATCCTCGATCATTCTGTGCATGTTGCTGCTGCTTTGTGCCTGGATCTGCCTGCTCCTGCCGGAGACGAGAAACAAAAAGCTACCCATGTCGCTGGCGGAGGGCGAGGAATTCGGCAAGAACGAGCGGATGTTCGACTTTGTGAGGAGCTTCGAGAAAGAGGATAAAGACGATCTCAAGGCTGGCACCAATGAGAAACTTATGGCGGAATAAATGTACTTACTAAGTAGGTGTTACGGTTGGAGCTAATCAGTTCTATTACGTTCTTTATTTTTAAAAGAAATGCATTTATTTACATTCGTTAAAATTTATTTGCGCAAAGTGTCTAGCAGAAGATGCCTGTATAATTTAAAAAAAATACTTAGAATTTATTGTTTTTGTTAGATTTTACTTTACAAACTTGTTTTTAGTCTACGCAATTATGTTTACGAAGATTGTTGGTTTATAAAAGTATTATTAAGAATTGAACAATTAAATTAGCTCTACTACCCTAAACAGAACTGTAGGCTATCCATAACAACATAATAACAAGAGTACAAGATAATAATATAGCTGACAATAGGAATGGCACTAAAGACTGCGCTAATTACTAGATAAGGAAGAATTCAGGCATCATTTAATGATTTGTTTTTTATGCTTTATTTTATAGATCCTACAAAAACTATGAAAACAAATAAACATTCAAAACGATTACTAAAAACTTGCTAAGGTCTCATTTTTTATCTCAAAATGTACTGAGAGGAAATACTTTTCTCCACATAAACAAATTTCGTGCGAGAGCATTTGAATGTTTATGCTTTCGAAACCGGGCTGTCATTCTTACTTTCAACTAAGCGCACTCTTGACCTTATGTATATTACACTCGAGGAGGAGCGGCGCTTTGTTGTTATGGTTTTATTAGCAGTCCATTCAACTTATTGTTCGCCTGTGTTTGATTCACATTTCAGAGGTCACGCCGTGTGTTTATCTAGTCGAGAGAAGGCTTTCCTTCTCGTGAGACGCCGGCGTTTGTTTAGATTAGAGTGAATGAGTGAATTCACTTAAATAATAAAGCGTCTGCGTTTGAGCGGCCCGCCTAGTCAGCCAGCCAGTCAGCCAGCCATATAGGCGATAAGCCGCCCCCAAAACAATCTTATCGCAGTTGGACGGAGACTCAACGTGCGAATCCGGCCGCCTTGCACTCTTTTGCCTTGCCTCGGTTCGGATCGGTTGGGTTTAGTCTTAATAGAATCTCAGCGAGAGCACGTCATGGATTTCGACCAGATCTTGGAGAAGTGCGGCAGTGCGGGTCGCTATCAGTACCTCATGATTCTGCTGCTCGGCTACATAGCCTTCACGACCACCGTGCACTATTACTCGCAGAACATAATTGGGTTTGTGCCGCAGCACTGGTGCTATCATGAGGCTCTGGCGAATCGTAGTTTCGAGGAGATTGCCGCCGTGTATGCCCCATTTGGCAAGGAGGCCTCCTGCACCCGGCTGGATAAGATCGAGGATGGCAGGGTGACGGTGAGCAATGAGACCTGCCAGCGGTGGATATACAACTACGACTTTGGATTCAGGAGCATGAATGCGGAGGTGAGTTTAATAACATTTAAGAAACCCAGTTTAAAGTAGCATCTATCCTTATATCCAGCTAAACTGGGTGTGTAACGATGCCTACAAGGCGCGGATCGGGCAATCCCTGTTCTTCCTGGGCTCCCTGATCGGAACCTTCACCTTCGGCATGCTGGGCGACAAGATCGGCAGGGTGAGAGCCGTGATCCTGGCCAATCAGTGCGGATTTGTAGGGGACTTTCTTACCACATACGCCTCCAACCTGGTGCAGTTCGCTATTTTTCGGTGCATTTCTGGTCTCGCTGCGACGGCAAATTATTATCTGATGTTTATTCTGGGTAAGCATTGCGATATCTCTAGCTCCCCGTGGAGAATGAGTGTAGATCTTGGGAAAGCTTTGCGAGTACAGAGTCAACAACATTGCCATGACTTCCCATGTTACGCATCAGTTTTGGTTTATCAGATGGCATTAGGTTATATAGACCACCTTTGAACACCAAAGAAATCGCTTTAATTCATTTGATAGAGACTCTTTTTCGGTATAAATATTTTTAATAACATTTTTGTTTATTATTTGAGCGAAATATATGATAAGAGGCAATACCTCTTTGTGATCTCTTCCGTTGATCAGTTAATCCCTGACTTTTTGACATTATAAGCCAGTATTTATTTTAGAATTTTTTATTCAAGCCTTAAGATGGCTAAATATAAATCATAAAAAAAAACTAAAAAACATTTTTTTTATTCATAATTAATAAATAATTTGTTTTAGTACTGGAATACTTGGCGCCCAAACTGAGGAACTTGGCCATAAGTGGAACCTTGGGCATATGCTTCTGCCTGGGAGCTCTGGTGGCTCCGTGGCTTTCGGTATTGGCTGGCAACTGGCGGATCTACCTGACCTGCTCGGCGCTCCTCCAACTGGTGGTGGCTTTGTTCTACTTTGTGGTCCAGGAGAGTGCTCAGTGGCTGATCACAAGGACAAATGTGGAGGGGGCCATCGCCAGGCTGAAGCATATCGCTCACTTCAATGGAAGGGAGGTCAAAGCAGCCGATTTCGAGGCCTTCAGGAGGAGCTGCATCGTTAAGAGAAAGATGTCCAACCAACCGGAATCAACGGCTGGAATTATCGATCTATTGCGGACTCCAAATTTAAGAAGGACATCGTTGCTGGTGGTACTTACTTTGTAAGTGTGAGGGTAAACGATAAAAATATGTTTTTTTACGAATTTAATATTTTTGTACCCTTCCTTTCTTTTCATACTCAGCATGCTGACTTCACTGAGCTTTAATACCATCTCTCGAAATGTGGAGGGCCTGGGCCTGTCCCCCTTTGTGGTCTTCTCGCTGTTCGCCGTGGTCGTCCCGCCATCTGGATTCATTCAGGGACTCCTGCAGAGTCGAGTTGGCCGCAAGGCCACGGCCTTTTTGGCCATGCTCTGCACTGGAGTGCTGTCCTGCGCCTTGGGCGTCGCCCTCTCCACCGAGGGCGCCCAGAGCAATGTGTCCTTGCTGCTGGCCTTCGCCCTGCCCATGCGACTGGGCATCTCCATGTGCTACACGGTCACCTCGCAGTTTGCCTCGGAGCTGCTGCCCACCTGTGTGCGCTCGCGAGGAATTGCTGCAGTGCACCTGGCTGCTGCGGGGGCGTCCTTTGTGTCGCCCTACCTCATTCATCTGGGCACTAAGCTAGCGGCAGCTCCGTCTCTCATCCTGGCTCTACTCCTCCTGACCGCGTCCGTTTGCACCCTCCTGCTGCCGGAAACAAACAACAGGTGAGTGTTTTAGTACTAATGAAATCTTTGAGGCCATTTGACACTTGCTTAAGTTTTCAATAATTATGATAGCATGCCGTTTTAAAAGATTAATAACTTTAGAACGACAATAAATGAATTTTTTTAAGATAGTGACAAGAACTAATTTATTAATTAAATTTTTTTCCACTCAAAAAAATCAGTATTTTGGCCGTAATATAGGAAATAATAGTTCAAATATGGAGTGTCATACCTTGTTGAACTCGTAATTAAATTCCCAATATATTGGCATTCAAACATGGACATTTTAAATTTTGGACATTTTTTGCAAAAAATCATGATGGTACCCCTTATAAAAAACCTGAAAATTTGAAATAAATTTAATTTTTCTTAATTAGCCGGGAAGTGTCGAAAATTCAATATTTAGGTTGCTAGCTGTTCGAAACAGTATGCCTTTTCGATTTCGGATAATTTTTGGTCAAGTTAAAGCACAAAGGCACTATAAAAAGTCTAATTTTTACCAAAAACTCAGATCCTGATTTTCCTCTTATAAAAAAGTCCGTATTTTAGCCGAAACGAAAGAAATAATATACAAAATTTTGAATGTCAATGAGTTTATGAAATAAAAGTATTACTATGAATATAAAATAATATTTTGATTTTAATAACAAATTTAAACGTTTTCATATTACTAACGTACCTTTTCGATATCCACAGACAATTACCCATTACCTTGGCGGATGGTGAGGCTTTCGGCAAGGGAGAATCCATGCTATCCTTCGATTGTTGGCGTAGACACGACGACGACGTGTCCAAAGAACCCGTCGAGGAGGTGAAGCTCCATCAACTGAACGGGCAGCAAACAAAATCCGAAACGGAAGCGGAAGTGTAGAGAGAAGCCAATCAAAGTATTTCCCCACAGACTTTTACACCAAACCCCGAAGGCTTTTCGAAAAGAGGTGGACACGGTAGTTGCGAAAGTTGTCAATAGATGTGAAGTTTGCTTTATTTTATTGATTCACTGCTGTTCACAATTTATAACACAATTTTAACTTAGCAACTTGTATTGAGCCAATTTTTAGAGTTCATCAGCTTTTTGGAATCATGTGTGTCGGTATTGTTGCCTTTGTATTAAGTACTTACTTGTAAGTAAAAGGGTCATAAGTATCTTGTATCTTGTAAATGGTTATGTAAACTCTTGTAATTATGTAACGCTTAAATGCCATAAACATAACGGCTACAATTTGATCGCTTCATCCTGCCCCAATTGCCATAGAAAGTCTTACAAACTCTAGCGTACAATATCTCGGAATCTCCATTGCGATTTCCGCTGACCATTGCGAAACTGACCAAAGGTCTGTCCTCTTAAATCTAAGTGTAAAGTCTAGCGCAGACATGGCGAGAAGTGATTTAGGGCCCCGTCGCTGGTTGCCAGATTATAAAATTGGAAACTAGAAAGGCTCTTTAACCAAAGTAATCAGCTACTCAGCGAATGGCCTAACTTAACTAACAGCATAATAATAGTTCAATGTAAAATTATATAAAACTGATCAAAAGATTGTTCTCAGGGCAGTAAAGGGATATACAGATATACAATCAGTGTGTCAGCTGTGAAACAACTTAGATTAATGCTTTTAGGAAGGCAACCGCAGCGTCTTTTAGATCATCATCTCTTACTATGTATATTTGTGTATCTTATGTGTGTATTCGCTAAAAAAGTTCTCTACATTAACGCAACATGTGTACTTTTGGGGGGCACGGCTCTTGGGCCTATATGCCTAATCAAAAATATTATTCTTGGGGGTTTATATTCAATAATTCTCGTTTGGGGTTTTCTATGAGCAATTCTGGCGAATGCTAACAAATACAATGGGTACCTAAATATTTCTGATATCAGTATCTGCAACATTAATCTGTGTTATTGCCTGGCATCCAAGGGGACGCGTCGGAAACGTCAAAAACGTTCTATAGAAATCACCTATTTGCTAGGGGTTCCAATTCCCTGTCCAATCTCTGGGAACTGGGCTAATAACAAATATACTATCCTCTCGAATCGCTTAATACTACGGAATGCGAACGGAGTGCTCACTGGTTGTAAAGGTGTTATAAGTAATGTATCTCAGTAGATGTATATGTATAAAGTAGGTAGGTGTGAAGTCTGTATCGCATCCATAAACATGTATAATCAACACTAGTTCACAATAGTTCAGTTGAATCCGAAATGCACGTACACAGTAAAAAGGTAAAAAGATCTCTCATAGTTCTCTCGCGACCTGAGACTGAGTACGGATGGTACTCGAGTATCCTATATACGACTATATAGCACCATCTCAGTGAGTAAGTGGATAAGTAAAGACCGGGCGGCGGTTGTTAAAACACAACCTCCACCCCTCCGGCGATCCTTAGGTAAGTGATATACTCGATTTAGGTGGTAAGTACATAGTAAGTAGTAGAAAAATATACATGTAGTAAACATTGAAACTTTGGAGACTTTAGAGGGAATAAACTATGGCTACAGGTGTGTGTATATATGTATACTAGGTGTGGGTGTGATTGGGCTCCCAACAAAATTTATGGCTAGATTAGAGAGCCAACCAACAGCAAACGCTTCAACCTTAGATTATGAACTATTTGTGGGTAAAACTAGTATCTGTGTGTATATTGTGGTTTCCTACTAGCGCTTTCTATGCTACTAAATACCAATTACTTTTGCAATATTTGCTGCTTATTGTTTGACATTTATCATATGCTGATTTAGAGAAAGTATTCTATGACCTCATCCAACTCCAGCTACAATTCTTCATTGATTTTGTATAGCCTCAATATCAATATCCATATCAACATCGTAATCAACTTCGTTTGCAGTGAGCCATTCTACCAAAGTGTGTAAACGTATGTTTAATATTATGATCATCACCGAATTTCAGGCGTGTGCATTATTTGTGTGTGTATTTCGAAAACATCGAGTATAAAAGACAAGCGGTATTTAGGCAACGAGTGATTCAGCAATTTTCTTTTATAAAAAACATCTTCTATAAATTTTTGTCAAGTATCATTCAACGTTAAATATTACTTTGTATTATCGGTATCTACCACTTACACCAAAAGCATTCATAAGACTCGTTTTTGTATTCTTAAAAGTGATTTCTCTGAAACAATTCATCTTATAGAGCTGCCCTACGACCTAAGGGTTATCCATACATATGCCTATGTATATAAAGGTAAAGTTCACAATAATCAGATTTGGAGGGAGGTGACATCTTTGGCTGCTGTGGGAATTGATTGATTCATTGATTGCTGTGGTGGTTCTTCACCCGTACAGGTGGTAAGTGGCATATGAAGCTTAGCTGGATTTGCACAATGTTCACGATATGTATGATGTCAGGATAGATATATGCATACGCTTAAGAATGCAGTTGCTTAAAGTCTAAGGAACTAAAGGATGGAAAATAAACCAAAAATGTTGAATTTACAAAAATGCTATTTGTATTTTTCGGATATTATGGGTAGTTATACATAGTAAGCTTATGCCTCGATTTAACTAGGGTTTAACTGTACGTTTATTTGTAGTTTTATCGTAGTTTAGCGCATATAGTATGCCAATTGCGAATGCCTCTCAGAGGGGAGAGAGGGTGAAAAAAAACACACACATACAAATTGCCTTAATATCTAGGCAGCCCGACCTTGGGGCCTCATCGTTTTGCTTTACAGTTTTTGTTTTTATCTGCATCGAATAGCTGAGAATTGCGCTTACAATTAGTGCCATAAACTTGATAAGAGTTTTTGCTTAGTTTCTCATGTTTGCCTTGATTACTTTTTTGTTTTGTTTTTTTTTGCGTATCTGCGGTACTTGCAGCGTCATCGTCACATTCCGACGTATTCGAGTATTCAGAAATCATCATTCCACACTCTTAACACTAACTTTTGTGAATGTTACAATCGTTTTTTCCTTATACCGCTAGTAATGCTTCTCAGAGTCGACGTGATCGTTAATTGATAATTATCGCATAATTAATACAATACAATACAATGCAGCGTGCCATTGGCAATGCTAACTGCAATTTTGTGGTTTGTCTCGGTTCTAAACAATAAGTTACTATTCTCGAATCTTGGCCTATGGCAAATTGGCTCGAATGCCATCCAAACTGGAACGCAGCACCAAGCTGCCCTCAACCCAGAAGTTCGGCCGATCCAGCATGTTCTGCCACAGGGAGAGCTCCTTGCCGGTGGCATCCATCCATTCCACCTGACGGCCATAGCTGCGACCTGTTAAGGGATTGAGGGATTTAATAGAAATTCGAGGGAGAATGAGTAACTCCAACTTACCGGTTCCCAAGGAGAATCGTATGCCGCCAACAAACTCATTGCTGGCCAGACGATCGTGATCCCAGACGGTTAGCTCCAAAGCGCGTTCCGACAATTCCTCTAGGGAGACATCCTCGTACACAAAGGTATAGTTCCAGCTGGGATGCAAAGTGCGCTTCACCACAGGCGTCTTTTGCTTGGAGCTCCGCGTGCGATCGGGTAGTAAATAACTAGGAAATAAATTATAAAGTAAGTTAGGTGTTTACTAAAAGGAATTGTAAGGACTCACCTTTTGCAGAAGGCGTCGCAGGTGCCGTTGGCCTTAATGGGACTCAGGTGCTTGGCCTCCTTGACCAGCACATGCAGCTGGCCGCCCTTCGAAGTCCGGTCCGATTTGGAGGCCACCGACTTGATGCTGCCTCCAAATTTGCGCAGATTCGAGGAGCTGCCTGTGATTGAAGAGCCGCGCGAGAAGAACGAGGATTTAATGTTCTCTGGGGGAATGTACTTTAGCCCCACGACAATGTCGCCCCTGTAGGTGGCCACCTCGTCGAAGGGTTCGCTCTGTAATGCAATAAATCAGTGAATATTAATATCATTGCCTCGATCTCAAAAGAAAACTAAGATAGATATAATCTCTAAATCAAGAAGAAATAATTTTCGTCTCGAGAGCACTTTCGCCTTGATTTTAAGAACATTTTTTCTTGGCTTTTTTCTGTTCTTATTTATTCTGCGTGCCTAGTTAAGCTACTTACGCGCTCTTGAAGGAGGTACCACTGCGACTGGGGATTGTCAAAGAGACGGCCCTGCAAATTGACACTGACTTCGCCCAGGAAGTCGTTCCGCCCAAACATATCCGAGTGCCAGACCGTCAGCCACAGAGTACGCGACTCCAGACTGGAAATGGGTGTGTGGAAACGCATTGTCTCGTCGAAGATGGGATTCAGCGTGTGCTTCTTGACTTTGGTTTTGCGCTTGCCGGCCTTCGACTTGTCGGGCAGTAGGTATACCTAAACGGAAGTAATACCCACAATTAGTTCGTAATTCAAGCAATAGAGGGGTAATAAAACCCACCTTCACATAGGGATCGCTGCGATTGCGTTTGGCATCGACGGCTGCCAAGTCCTTGCAGCGCACCACATGAACTTCCAGGGCACTCAGCTTGTAGTTGTACTGCATGGCAAACTCCACTTGGCCCTTGACCACCACAGTGCCATAGCGACCTTCACCGGCGCCCGAATAAACGCTGGCCATGGACTCCGAGCGAACCTATCAGATGGTTAAGAAAATAGTTTAATTATTAAGTTTTTACTGAGATCATCCCGATGCTTTACTTACCCCCAGCGAGCTGAGACTGCTGCGGTTCTGGTGCATGGCCACCAGTCGATCGATGTCCTCATCCGACTGGGTGGGCCACGTTTCGCTGGAGGCACGCGACTGAATGGGACTGCCGGTGCCATCTGCCTGCCGTTGGCCAATCACCGGCGATCGAGTCAGCTCCTCGGCGGCCACTTTGGCCTCCTCTGCAAAGAGAAAATTCATCAATTAGCACTCGAGTTTTCCACAATTAAGGCTAATGATCTATATGAGCCGATGATTAACGATCGCAGACGATCGGTGGAAAATGTTTCTTGGTATTTTTAGCTGGCGGCCCCTTCAAAACTATAATTTTATTTTATCTATTTTTAAAATATATATATTTTGTACGACTATCTTAGGCAATTATGCAGGTTATGATAGGAATGCAATGGGGTCATAATATTATTCACATTTCAGAAGGTCAAAGCGGGGCTAAATTGGTTGAAATCTAGAAGTTGCTTTTTGTATTCAGTTCATTAATGTTATTCGAATAAAATTTTTTTTATGGATATCTAGTTCAATATTTCCAAAATATTTCGATTAAAAGAAGGTTAAGTATCATTCCATAATTGAGAAACATCTGCTTCTTCATTTTGCTTATAAATAACCCATTTTATCAGGTGCTATATGAATGGAGATCTGTGGAGGAAGGCAGCTTGGGGCGTCGGTGCAAGGAGCGTGCAGTTGGTGGCAGGCAGACGAAACCGTGGGAGCATTTCCTGCCTACCTTGCACCGCCACCCGTTCTTGCTTGGGAAGATGATCCTCCTGCTCAGATTGCTCCTCCTCGCCCTCCACAAAGGTCACATGCAGTGGAGTGCGACGGTGCAGAATCAACGATGTCCTGCCCCCAGGAGCAGCAGTGGCCACCGGGAGGTCGTCTTCGAGGGTCTCCAGGAACCTATCCGAGTTGGACCTCAAACTGTCGTCCCAGGTCCAAGCTCGTCTCTTCACCAGAGAAGGCGATCGCATTTGCGGCGGTGTGTGCCTCTGTTGCTCCTGGGGAAGGGGACTTGGATTCGGATTCGGATTTGGATTTGGGATCTCTTCAACTGGATTCTCACTTTGCCCGTTGGCCGCCGCCTCGCGTTGCTTCATCTCAACTATGTAGGAAGCCACCTTGGCATCGATGTCGTCATCCTCCTCCTCGGAATCATAGGCATATCCCTTCGATCTGCTTCTCTTGCAGCAATAGCAGAAAAAAGGGGTTTTCTTCGGCTTTCCCCCCGAACTACTCCAATAATCCTGATAGCTCCTTTGGCGACGCCTGCGTTTCCACCAACATTGGCCAAAAAATCGCCGCCACTTGGACTTGCGATGGAGTTTCTTGGCTCCCTCCTCAGATCGTTTCTTTCTCATGCGATTCAGTGCGGCATATTGGATTTTTCCAGCCGAACTGGAGGGCAGTGAGGATCCAGCCGGTCTGCCATAGTTGTGCACTCGAGCCAGTGGAGCAGGTGCAGCCGAAGCTGGCGGGGATTTCTTGGAGGAGGTGTTAGTGGAGGAGGAGGAGGCAAAAGCATTATAGCTGGCGGCTTCTTTCGGCGCCGACTTCGCCGTTCGCCGTGGGCCAATTAAACGAGTCACTTGCTTCATTTTCTCGATTTCTCATTTCACAATTGCGCGTTTTGGTGGCAAGATTAATTGGTGACCGCTTTTTTTGGTGTCATCCGCAGTCGACTGCAAATGTTTAATATCACTTTTGGCTCTGCCGTTTCGCCAACCAGTTGACAGTTGTCATCAGATGGATTTCTCAATTGCCTACACTGCGCCACACTTTGAGTCAATTAGAAAGGTCTAAGCTTTGGGTTTTTGTGGGGAATAAACCAATTATTTTTGTCGCAATTTAAGATTATTATTTGCCACAGCTTAATAAATATAGTTCAAATATTTATTCATTTTTTTTGCTGGTTTAATCGATTCCTTCGTAAAAGTTTTTATCTTTTTTTTATTTTTAAGAACTCAAAAGTGGAAACCTGTCCGGTAAAATAACTAGTTATCTCTCAGATAAGGCTGTATAGTTTTTTTTTTTAAATGCACATATATTTGCTTTGCAGGGGAAAGTAGTTTTTAGAAATTATGGAAGAATGCATAAAATAATAAAGAATGATAAAATCAAATCTAATGGAAAGTTTTGTCGAGTTTATTATTTATTCGCCGAAACTCCGTGACAATTCAATCAAGATAGATACCAAGAGTTTGTCTCTTTTATTGCTTCTGGCATTTCACCCAGCCGATAAAATAGCTTCCACCTATTATCTCAAAGATATATTACAGCAGAAAGGCTGATAGTGAATTATTTTTGAGCAATGTGACATAGATTGGAGGCCCTTTGATAAGATGCCTGGCGACACACAATCTTTGGCAATTCGGACACGTAATTGGAGCACTTGATCGCCGCTTAAGAGCCGCTTATCTTAGATAGCCGGGCACCTGGGCCGTAAAAGCATTTGCATGGCCCACCGTCAGCAGTCAATTTAATTAAGTCGAAATGTGTATTGCGGCCCTGAACTTGCCACAGCCTTGGGGCTGATGACCAAAGCGAAGGTGTGAAATCGAAGGGGAGCAGCCAGTAAACCCATAAAAGTGGGTCAGATTACACCCAGCGCTTTGAGAGCGGCCTAGCGATCCGAAAATACAATTAAACTGAGAAATATCCATTAAAACGGCTTAAGGGGGCCGTCAAAATGTTTGCGCTGTGCGCTGGAAATTTGAATTTCTTTTATGCAGTCACGATTTGTTGACAAATATCTCATTTCGTTTTCGCTTCTTTATGGCACTTCTATAATTTCCGCTTTGCTAGCATAGCGCCCAATAAACGTGAGCGGGAAGGCCAAACCCAAACCCAAAACAACAGGCTAATACCACAAAAACCCAAAGCGAAAACCCGGCGAACTAAAAGTCAAAGTGAGCGAAAGAAAGACTTCACTTTCACTGCCACAGCGATCGGTTCGTTGGAGTTAAGATCGGAATTCGCGGGGTCTTTCAGAGCACATCGTTGCGGCGGAGCTCCAGTCCCGTTACGCGGTTCGAGGCAACTGATCCGGAGACCAGAGTCAGTGCCAGAACCCCAGAGCAGAAATCTAAGTTTTATTCAATTATTCAAATATTGAACTCTGGGGTCGCTAGGGGCGCCTAGCCAATGAAATTGCAATTAACAAGAGCGAACGACAAGCAATCTTCAGCAGAGGGTGGATCTTTCAGAAAATTTAGAGAGGAATGTTTAACTAGAAATATCTTTAAAAACTTCATGAAATAAAATACAAATGTTTATCACTCGTTAAAATTCATTCAAAAAATAGAAAATATATTTTAAGTATGGGTTTACCATTCAAAGACTTAGATACCCAAAGAAAAACTGAATACAAATGATGGTAGCTTCAAACCAAGAACCACAGATCTCTCCTCGCCAAACCATCCAGATTTCCAGCAAGAGAGCGACAAATATAGAGACATTCCGTCTCGCATTTCTGGGTATTCTGTCTCGGCTGTCGCGGGCAGAAAGGTTAATTTAATTAGGGGCCGAAACTGAACTCAGATCTGAACGGGTGTCGCTTACAGGGTGATCTTCCGCTTGGATTCCGAGCACCAGCGCCACTCGAAACTTCCGTCATGCGGCTGGGATAATTGCAAGTCGGTTCGATTTGCATAATTGTGGAAATCAGTTGCAGTGCAATATTATTATTGCATGCCACGGCCCCCGCTGGCAGCTTGGGTTTTGTTTTTGGCGCAAAACACTTAAACGGCTGCCGGATGGGCACGGACATCGTGGACAATGGACGTGGACATGGAGCACGGACCATTTCCGCACTCCGGCGGTGCAGCGAAGCGATGCACGAAACTAGATGGTGAAAAAAAACAATTTCCCAAGCGAAGCTCTTCGGGCGGCGATGTCACCTCTTTTGCGGGCTCAAAAACATTAATTGTTGTATGCAAAATGAATAAATGGTATAAATACAGGAAATAAGCAGGCAAAGCTCTTTATCAACGTCAAGAGCTTAAATAATACAAATGTACAGAAGTTCAATACTGGCAAAGGGGCAGCCATTTAATTGTGTTTTGGCCAAGACAAACGAGTTGGTTGAACTGGAAATAGAAACTGTGTAAACACAACTGTTTTAGAGATGACAACGTGAAAAAGTTGACAGCCAACCTTGGTGGTCCATTGACCAAAATTCAATTTCAAATATGATGCGTTCACTTATTACTTTATCTTCTTCTCTTTGGTTAAAATATCTTTGCTTTAGCAATGAAAGTTTTATTAAAATTTAATGCATATTTCCATGGTTTATCTGGGCACCATGAATGCTTAATGGCTTATCTGCGGTTTAATGTGCCGGAACGCTGTAAAGTAACTGAATTATCAAAAGAAAATATAAAAGGCATTTTGCCGAAATGAATTTTCTTACGATTTCTCTTTTCGATAACGAAAAATGATAATTACGATTCAAATTTTTTGATTTGTTTTTAATAACTATGTGATGTTTTTCTCTTAATGATTAAAAAACCCACCATTTGCTGTATTTTAAAATAATTTATATGAGTATGCACTTCTATCAAACTCTTTTTTCCTTTTAGCCACATTAGGGAGTGCCTCTTTTTGGCCCACTCAAACCATTCCTCATCCCAATTCCATTCCCCATCTCTAGGTGACACAGCAAAGTTCAAAGCCCGCCTGCACCCAGGTTTTCGAGTAGCGAGTTCGAGTTCCATTGACCAAGCGGTATATAATTGTTGGCCACAAAAGCGAAAACAGCTTTTCAGCCAAAATAAAAAAAAAAACAGAAATAGACGGAGAACAGCAAAAACTACCAGCGACGCCCCCGCCAAGCGGAACAAAGCCACATCCACGTCGTAGTCCACACATCCAAAACTACATGCTTCTACATCTGGAGCCACATTAACACACTAACTGACGCAACTGTGCGAAAATCGCTTTAGACGCTAACTGGAAACTGAGCCGCAGTTGGCTACGAGTGGAGAGCTCAATATGGATACAGTTAATTGACCTTGATTGAGTTTATTTCGGGTGAAGCAGCTGTCTGCGGAACCAAATGTCTCCATCCGCCTTGGTGTGAGTGCGTATCTATGAGTGGGCTTCCCAGCAGCAACATCAACATCATCATTATGGAAGGCGAGGGCAAGAGGAAGTGCCACATTCCCCAGATTCCTGCCCCTCAGCCTAATCAGCATAAAATAGTTCAGGGTGCGGCAGCACCTCCTTTCTACGAAATTTCAAGACCCATTATGTGGCACTTGAACGGAATTAATTTTAGTAAGTGGGTGTTTCAAAAGGTTATGCTTTATGCTTTTAAAAAAAATATTTATGTCTTTTAAGGAGGGGAATTAATATAGGATATAGCATAGAATTAGCAACAAATTCGAATTAAAAGTCTTTAAAATTTATACTTTTTGGGAAAAATCCATTAAGTTGATATAAGCATTGTTTATATATTTTTTTCACTGAATATTTTTCAGTGAAAACCTCGCCTTGAGGTCATCTGTCTCCCACTCGTCTAAGGATCAGATTCCCCCAGGACTTCTTTGCCGGCAAATTTTCGACTCCTTCCACTTGGAGTGAGGAATTTTTCATTAGGAAGGAAGCAATTTCATGGCCAGTTATTTGAGCCCGCCGGCTGACTCCTGTGCGTGTCGCACTAGGAACGCACCACCTTATACCATACCATCCCCTCTCAGTAGTTGAAGGAGTGGCCCACATCACCCCCCTTAATAGTATGCAAAAGGTAAACATTTGACTTTTTGAGCAACTCACCCGCTGACATGTTGAGACGTTTGCGCGCATCGCGTTTGGAGTAGAGGAACTGGAAGCCCGCGCCTAGTTTTTTGCCCGTGGAACCACTATTCCCTCCCACTCCACCAGCGGCGGCAGAGCCACCCGCAGCCGTTCCTGCCGCTCCACTGACAGCCGCCGCGCGAGCCGCCAATCCTGGCGAGCGGTACCGCGCACTCTTGGCACTGCCGGTGGCCGAAACGGTGGACAGATTGGAGGGTGTGTGGTTGAGGGCACTTTGTGACTTTGTCTTCGGGGTGCTGGTCATTGGGGCACCCACTCCGGTGGTGGGCAGCCTGGGCAGCGAGTTCGTGCTGGCCACCACAGGACCACCGGAGTTTAGGCTTCTCGGCAGAGTTGATCTTGCTCCGCCAAACTGATTCGAGGCAGCCTCATCGCTGGAATCCGTCTCGTAGATGGCATCCGGCACACTGGATCGCCGCACATCCTTCGTGGAGTCACCGCCAATCGAGGAGCCCGCCGACGAGAGCCACGGCTTGGCCGGCGAGGATTCCAGCTGGTGGTGGTGGGCATCGCCGCCTCCGATGCTGCCGCAGGAACGCACGCGGTCCAACTGCTCGCGGCTGAGACTCTGCTGGTGCTGGCTGAAGAGAAGGTCGCCTGCCGATCGGCGCTTTGCCACAGCCAAAGCGGACGCAGACGACGAGTTATCCCTGTCCAGTTGGCTCAGCTGGCTGAGCCTCGTTCTGCTGTCGCCATTAGCCAGTAATGCCGACTCAAAACTGCCGCGCCACGAGAACCGCTCGTAGTCGCTGGCCACGCCGCATTCCTCCCCGGCGTTGTCCGAGTGTCCGGGTGCGGATCCTCCTGCTCCAGCTGCTCCTCCACCGCTGCCCGGATGATGAACGGTGGCCTGGTGGAGATGCAGGTGATGCGATGAGTGAGGACTGGTGCCATCTAGCAGGAGATCATGGGATCTGCTGCGCAGCTTGAGCTGCTTAATGGGCATGGCCCTTAGCTGCTCCTCCACCTCATCCTCCTCGTCCTCCGTCGTGGTGGCCGAGATCTTGGCCTGCAGTCTTCGATGGTGCCGCTGGCCCTGCGGCGATGGTGTGGGCGTCTCGTTGCCACTGCTCACCTCGTGCATCAGGGCCACTAGTCTAGTGCCGATGTGCTGCATCACCTTGGCAAACAGCTGGGGAGATCTTTCTGTCGTGGGTTCCTTTTCCTCCACTTCCTGGGCAGCTTCTATTTCCGGTTCCGTTCCACCCGCTGCCACCTTGCTGAAGGAAGCCACCAGTTTCTGGTACACCAGAGCCTCCATGGGCACGCTCTGACTCTCGTCGAGGAGTCCGCCATCACCGCGATCGCCCTCCTCGTCGATCTCGAACTTGTTGATGATCTGCTGGCAGCTGGCTGAGATCTGGGCCTTCAGCTGGCCCTTCCGCTCGCCACCCTCCAGATCGGAACTGGTGTAGTCCGAGGAGTCGTAGGAATCGGACCAGGTGTCCTCGCTGCTCAGGTACTCCACTATTTCGCGCACCTGCTCGTCATTGATGCCCGGCACGGTTTTCATCAGTCGCGTCAGTTCGTTCTCGAAATAGGCCAACTGAGCTGGCCGGGATTTGGCCAATCTGCGCTGGGAACTGGGAGTGGTACTCTGAACCTGACCCTGCGCCTGATTGGGAGTGGTGGGCTTACTCTGCTGCGCATTGGCGGTGGCCACAATGAGCGTCTTGAAGAACTGCCGCATCTTGCTCATCATCAGGTTGGTCTCCTCGTCGGAACTCCAGTTGTTGAAGCTATCCTTTCGCACCAGATTGGGCAAGGCGGCCAGATTCCTCAGTTGGCTGGTTAGAGGCGCAACTCCAGCGGCTGCCGAAGTGCTGGGAATGCTGTCCATCTTGGCCAGGCTGATCTGACTGTGATGGGCCGGCTCCCGATCCTCGCTAATCTGCTCCAGCGCAGGTGTTGGACTCTTGGGAGGCTCGCAGTCCGGTGCCGCCTTCAGCAGATCATCGTTGCTGCCCACAAAGCCACTATCCCTGCTGTGGTGATGCTGCTGCTGTTGCTTCTTGGCCTGGGATTGCAACTGCACTTGGTTGCCACCTCCACCGGGAGTGGGTGTCCTGCACTCCGAGGGCTCCAGATCGTGCAGTTTCTTTTCGTCTAGGGAATCGTGACGCTTGCGCAGTTGCTTCTTGCGCTTGATGGTGTCCGAGGAGGAGCCATCCGAGGCTCCAGCGTTGGCCAGATGGATCACAGTGTCGTCACAGCCTGCCTCCGATTCGGAGGTGTCCTCCACGGTGGCAGAAGCAGCAGCGGCAGAAGTTGTGACCGTCGAATCGAGGGTGTCTGTTTCTGGCAGCAGGAGATTATCCAACGAGGAGTTGTGACTTCTGGGGGTTCCCCTGGCCCTCACCAGTCGCTTCCTCCGCTGACTGGGACTCGGATGACCCTCGCTGTCGCTGCCCACACTGCCGCCACTCTCATCGCTCTCCGCCTGCTTTTCTCCGCCACTGAAGCCCATAAATCCAGAGAGGAAGTACTTTTCCAGCCGTGAAGAGGCCAAATCGGAGGCTCCACTGGTGTCCAGCAGCTGATCCTCGTGGGGCAGCGAGTCCAGACTCTCGGAGCACTCGGAACTCACCTCGGAAGCGGTGTCATCGCCACGCGTGTCAATGGAACTCATTACCCGCCCGTCGCCCAGGCCAAAGAAGAAGTACTTCTCCAGTTCGGAGGCACTCAGTCGGTGGTGGTGCTGCAGGGTGCGCTGCCTCCTGCGCTCCGCCAGATCCTCATCCTCCAGCTCGGCATCCTCGTTGTCCGCCCGCATGGAGGCCACCTCGCTCTCCTCGCAGCTCTCCTCGACAATGGTGTGCAGGGTGAAGTCGATGGCGGATCTGTTGTAGCCCCTCAGCTCCTCCTCGCGATCAAGGTAGCCATGTCGTCGGTTTCCTCCTCCTTCGCTCTCTCCCTCCGCATCTTCGGAATCGGTGGCCGTGGGTGTGGTAGTGGCCTGGCTGAGATCCTCGTCATCATCCTCACCCCGCTGACTCAGCTCCTCCACCCAGGAATCGTCGTCCGCCAGTCCGTCCTCCACACTAAGTTCCGGCACAGCGGGCGGTGGAGTCGGTGGTTCGTTTAGCGAGTCCACGCTGTACGATTCGCGATCGCTGCTCACGAGTTCCATGGCGCGAAGTGAGTCACCCGCAAAGTTCTGGCCAAAAGTGTTGCTGCTGGACGGGCCTTTGTTGCTGCTGTCGTGTATGTTGCTGCTGTTGCTGTTGCTGCTGCTGCTGCTTGCCATTTCGTAATCGCTGCCAGCTGCACTTTCATTGTCTTTGGTGATCATGACCAAACTGCGATACTTGGCTGAAAGTGAATTTTTGGGCGAAGCCAGTTCGCTGGGCGATGTTGCAGGTGTCTCAGGTGTTGCTGCTGCTGTTGCACTTGCAGTACTTTGCTGATGGCTACCAAATATTTTGTCGTAGTCACACTCGTTTTCACCACTCACAAGCACATTCGAATTCACACTCACTACGTCACTGAAAACAACACTCGAGCCGCTATTTCTCGTCTTTTGTGCTGCGAAAGCGTCATTATTATTATGGCCAAGTTCGCTGTTGTTGTTATTAGTGTGTTCGTTGTTGCTATTATCGTTGTTGCCGTTGTTGTTGTTGCCGCCGTAGAGCGACGAGCGTGGAGCAACCGCAACGTTTAACATTTCATTTTCGACTGGCGACTCCGGCGACTCCGATTTCGAATCGAAGCGATATTGCTCGCGAGCGTCGCTTACAGGTAGAAAATCCAAATGAGAGTTCGGGCTCTCTTCTACCTGCTCAGGTGCCAAACAGAAACTCGCTGAAGTTGCCGAGAGTGAATCCAGCGAGTAGTCACCACTGTTTTCGTTTATTTTGCATGCTTGGCTGCATGTGCCGACCCTCTGCTGCCGCTGAGTTTGCTCAGCTGTTCTGCCGCTCCTCTGCTGCTGCCGCTGCTCATCCACCAGTTCACTGTTTGCTTCTACCTGCTTTGAACAGCAGGTGAGAGGCGACGGCGGTCCCTCATTAGAGGGGCTTTTCCGAGAAGCAGGGCTGCACTCGTCGGGTTTCCCACCTTCCAACCACCCACTACCTGAGTGGGTGGCAGCCGCACTAGTGTCACCCTTAGACAGCTGCAGATTCTCATTGATTTCCGCCACTCCCTGTCGCAGCCGCTGGAGCTTCATCTCCAGCTGGGAGTTCTGCTTGTGCAGCCCCAGCATCCGATTGACATCGTTCGCGATGCTGTGCAGCTCCTGGCAGGCGGCCAGGGCATCGCTAGCTTCCATCGAGTGGCGCTGCTCTGATTCGCCTGCGTCGCCGTCGTCTGGCAGCGATCGCATGTGATGCAGCACCACGCCGGCGGCTCCGTCGTCCGTCTGCCCGCCCACCACCACAATGCAGTTGGCCAGCTCATCGCTTGAGTTGGCAACGCGGCGTTCACTTTCATCATCTTCGTTTGCGTCTTCGTCACTCGATTGGCAATCACGTGCAGCTGCTGGCGCCGCCCCCTCCTCCTCCTTGGGCTCCTCCTCCTCCTCGAGCGGTTTCACATAGTTCAATACAATCCCACAATCCGTGCGCTCGGTGTCGGTATCATTGTCGGATGAGTCCTCTAAATTGGCCTCCGAGGAGGACAGGGAATCGCCCTCGGTGGAGGAACTGCGTCTCACCCGCGCACCTGGCTGTCTATTAACGATAAACACCTTGTTGAACCTCCTTCTCTTGGGCCTGCGATCGCGCACGGTGCCCGTATCATCCGAATCGCAGGATTCGGAGCTGGAACTGGAGTTGGAGCTGCTGCTGGAGGAGCTGGAATCGCTGGTGGTGCTGTGGTGGCGTTGTGGAATAACCTCTGCTTCTGGCTGCTGCTCCTCCATCATCCCGGCCACATTGTAGCTTCTCTGGGTGGGTTTACGTTGCTTCAGCTGCTCCTCCTCCTTATGCTCTTCTTGATCCCCCTCCTCCTCCTGGCTACTACTACTGCTCGCCTCATCTGGACTGCTGGCCGCAAAGCTCTCGCTCTGCAGATGGGCAGTTGCCGATGCCGATGGTGATGCCTCATCGGACATCTTGTTGATGTTCTCTATAAGTCGATTGGAGGACAAATTCTTGGCACTCTCCTTCGCTGTCGTCCGCTGATCTATGTGCTCTGGGTGCTGGGCTCTGGGTTTTGGCTTAAGTTTTGGGCTGAGACTGGCACTTTCAGCATTTCCAACATTTCCAACAGCATTTTCGACTGCAAGTCCACCGAAACGAGTTATTACCGCAGGAGCCGCAGCTCTAGTTGCTGTTTGTGTTTGTGTTGCTGTTGTTGCTGCTGCCTGTGCTGCTGCTGTTGGTACTTGATTTTTATGTATATTCGTTTCGTCTGCTGCTTCCACTTCTTCGTGGCTGTTTTTACTGGCCAGGTAGGTTTGTGTTGTTGCCGCTGGCTGGGTTTCGCATAGATTTCGGCTCTGGTATTTGCTGGCCACTCTCAGAGCGATTCCCTTTGTGGATGTCGCTGTAGTTGCTGTTGTTGCTGCTATTTCTGTTGATATTGCTGCTGCTGCTGCTGCCGCCAAGCTCTTATCTACACTGGCAACATGTGCCTGAGCGATGGGCACTGGCAATGTGCCGGTTTTATCATAAACATTACACAATCTACCCGTTGTGGGCGTTGCGTTGTTGTTGCCGTTGCTCTTGTTGCTGCTGCTGCTGCTCTTGGTGTTGCTGTCGTCGCTCTCGCTGTTGCTGTTGCTGCTGCCGCGACGCGCGTTGCTCGTTTCTGGTTGCTCACCCGTCGGCGAACGCGACGCTACTAAACTTGTTGGCTTTGGCTTGAAAGCATTGCTGGCCATTTGTTGCTGCTGTTGTTGGTATTGCTCTTTGTATTGCTGCTGCATCGAGTTGGCAGCTCGCATTGGACTGGCCAGCGTCTCCAGACTCCGTCCCGCCGTCCCATAGCCCGAGGTGCTGGTCGAGGACGAGGAGGAGGATATGGTCGAGCAGAGGGACTGCGTCATCAGTGATCCCAGCGAGGCACTCAGCTCCGGAGCCGAGGACTTGAAGCCGCCCAATCCCAGTCCGCGCAGGCGCTGCGGCATCGGTGGCGGCGTCGTGGGCAGTTGTTGGTAACTCTTGCTGGTCACCGGCGGCGTTGCATCGAACATGTTGCTGCTGGCCGCCGCAAATTGCTGCGAGTAGGCTGCAACTATGGCGGCAAATTGCTGCTGCTGACCGGCCGCCTTCCAAAGTTGCTGCAAACTGGCGGCCAGCTGCTGCTCGTCCTGTTCCAGGAGGGGATTACCGGTGGTCGGCGGCATATCCGGCCAATTGGGATAGTTGGCCATGGGCACTGGAATGGGCACCGGTACGGGTATGGGCACATATTGCGGTTGCTGCGGCTGCTGCTGCTGCTGGCCGGGATTGCAGCTGCATCGGTTGTGGTGACTGTGGTGGTGGTGATTCTTCAGGAAACGCGTCTTGATCCGGGTCTTCATGCTGAGTGGATGTGGCGGCGGTGGCACCGGTGGTGGGGTTTGATCGGAGCTGGTCTGCGAACTGCTCTCGGTGTTCAGGACAAACTCCTCGTCGGTGCCCGTGTCACTCTCCCTGATCCTCGGGCAGTAGCTGCTCCTCACTGGCGGAGGACGTCTTTGCACCAAGGGGGAGTCACTATCGCTGGACTGACGCCTCACACGCGGCGGTGGAGTGGGCGTGGCTCGGCTGGCCGTGCTATAGGCAATCATGGTGGTCGTCGTCGTCGTGGTCGTGGAGATCATGGAGGGCTCAAAGTAATCCCAGTCGCAGTCCTCCACATTGCTCACAATGCTGTGACAGTGGTGCGTGGAACAGGATGAATCCGTGTCATTCTCATCCTCCTCCTCTTCTCCGTGACAGGACGACGATGAATCCGAGTTGAGGAAGACGAGCTTGAACTCGTCCGCTTCAACGCTATACTGCGACTGCTGCTGCTGGCGTCCATGCTGAGTGGAACACCTGAAGTCTAGCTCCGATGACGATGACGTTTCCATGGCATCGCCCCCTCCTAATCCGCCGATATCACCGGAAACCACGGACAGCTGCTGCTGCTGCACTGCGCCTGTGGAGTAGCAGGGTTGGAGTTTCGGGCAAATAAGTTCGGAGACAACCACTTTGACGTTGACCAACACCACGAAGCGGTACGCAAATACCGGTTATTAGCACCACACAGACACAGAAATACACACAGGTGAAATACTGGTTAGCCGGGGGGTGAGTTTTTCCACACCAATGCTATGGGTTATGGGTTGCAGATGGGTTAGTACGGGTGGTTGTTTTTACAAAACTTACAGCTAGCATGGGTTAAGCTTGGATGGCTTTGGTTAGACCGAAAAACCACAGATATAAATAGATGTTAAAAGATACCAAAGGTTACGAGCACGAAAGCAGGAGTGTTAGTTCGAAGGAGTGATACTCATTTTATCTAGCCCAATTTATTGATTGTTATCTATGCACTCGAATGGCAATCTGAGCAACTTTGTTGAACCCTCATAATTGCAAATCGATTTTTATGTCCCTCATATTATCAAGCTTCTTGATATACAAGCTAATTGATAAAAATAATGAATTACAGTTTTTAATAAACAAATGAAATCTTTAGTAACTGAGAAGTTTTGTAAAACTAAGGGGAGGTAAACATATCAAGTTTTGTATTGTTGCTAGAACTTGTATTGTAAGCAAAGTTTATTTTTTTATTTATTCCCTCAATTTATACAATAGCAAAACTATTTAATGTAAACTTTATCTGGGGAATTGGATATTTAATAGCATTATAAGAAAGGGCCAATAATAAATTAACCCATGCTCATAAGGTCCAGGTCCCGGGAAAATCGGAAGTGCCATTTAGCAAGAAAAACCATGACCTTTATAAAGTGAAAAAAGTTATTCACTGCATCCTGATCAAAATTAAATACTTCCAAAATCATTTCCCCATCAGTTCAAGTAATATAGAAATTTTTAAAATATAAAAAGGAAAGGAAAAAAAAAAATTATTATAAAGGGGGAAAAAAAAAAAAAAAAAAAAAAAAAATTAAGGGATTTAAAAATTTTTGAAAAAAAAAAAAAAAAAAAAAAAAAAAAAAAAAAAAAAAAAAAAAAAAAAAAAAAAAAAAAAAAAAAAAAATTTTTTGGGGGGGGGGGGAAAAAAAAAAAAAAAAAAAAAAAAAAAAAAAAAAAAAAAAAAAAAAAAAAAAAAAAAAAAAAAAAAAAAAAAAAAAAAAAAAAAAAAAAAAAAAAAAAAAAAAAAAAAAAAAAAAAAAAAAAAAAAAAAAAAAAAAAAAAAAAAAAAAAAAAAAAAAAAAAAAAAAAAAAAAAAAAAAAAAAAAAAAAAAAAAAAAAAAAAAAAAAAAAAAAAAAAAAAAAAAAAAATAAAAAAAAAAAAAAAAAAAAAAAAAAAAAAAAAAAAAAAAAAAAAAAAAAAAAAAAAAAAAAAAAAAAAAAAAAAAAAAAAAAAAAAAAAAAAAAAAAAAAAAAAAAAAAAAAAAAAAAAAAAAAAAAAAAAAAAAAAAAAAAAAAAAAAAAAAAAAAAAAAAAAAAAAAAAAAAAAAAAAAAAAAAAAAAAAAAAAAAAAAAAAAAAAAAAAAAAAAAAAAAAAAAAAAAAAAAAAAAAAAAAAAAAAAAAAAAAAAAAAAAAAAAAAAAAAAAAAAAAAAAAAAAAAAAAAAAAAAAAAAAAAAAAAAAAAAAAAAAAAAAAAAAAAAAAAAAAAAAAAAGTACCCATCTTGTCAGGAAGCAGTTGAAAGACTCTTTATTGATTATGATTCTAGGCCACAAGCTTTTCTTGCCAAGACAAGGACTAGCAAAAATTTGCCAAAAAGCTTTTAAAGTTGCCAACATCGTCATGCCCTGCTTCACCCATTCCCTCCTCCCCACGGAGTACCTCAGCGCCACCTCTTTCGCTTGGATGGGTGCACAAACAAAAACTGCAACAGCGGATGCACATAGCGTCAATCCTTGGCAGCCACAAAGTAAACATTTGATCGGCGCCCTCCCTGCACCAGGCACACACTTCCTTTTTATCCGTTTTGAACACTGCGAGAAATTGGTTGTTGCCATATTATATTTAGCAATTTTTAACAATTCAAAAAGTGTTAACTTTTTTTTAAGAAAGTGCATAGAATTCTATTGCAGTGACTTGGTATTTTTAAATCAACCTAAGACAATTTTTTCCAATTAAATAAAAAAAAGACAGGTTTTATTCGGTCCTGTTTTTTTTGCTTTACGTCGATTGTAAATATTTTTAGGTTATTTTATTTTATTATTATTAATTAAGGCAGGGTCCATACTTCAATCAAAACGAAATAAAAATATAAAAAAAAAATTTGGTACCGAAACCTTAATTTCGTTTCCTTTTTGATTGAGGTGAAGGTGAGGAACTTGAATTTCGTTTAGTGTACTCAAAAATCGTTTCCTAGCAGCGAACTGCGAACACTTTTAGGCATTCACAGAGGAGTACCCACATAGGAGGACAAAAGGTGCGGGAGATAAGATTAACGCTACAGTTTTGGCAGTCCAAAAATTCCAGTGGGTGGCGCCGGGGCTTTGGTTTGTCCGTGGGCAGAACTGACAGCACAAGGACCCGGATTGTGGAATCCTTCGAGGCGACGGCACCGCATCTCGAATCCGCAACATAGACACACGCTGCGTTGGTGGTCACAAAACCAGACTCCCACAAATCGCCAAATTGAAACATAACAAAAGGCGGCAAAGGCGTTCGGGCTCCTCTGCCTCCCCCGGGAAAATCCTCTGAAAACTCTTGGCGCTCTTGGCAGGGAAAAAGTGCGTGTGGGTGGGAAATCGATTTATGAGTTGCCAAAAAATTACCCCGCACACAAAAAAATTTGCTTGGTAAAATTAACCAAAAAAGATAGTTACGTAACTATTAAAATAGCTACGTGTATTTTGTTTTTGCTTTGGGTTTGTGTCTTTGCTAATTGTGTGTATTTTGTTGTTGTGAAATGACAATTTACTTAGTAGAATTGACAATTTTGCTGGTTGGGGCCTGTTTGACAATTATTACAGTTGATTTTACCAAGTTTTTTTTTTGTGTGCGCCAGCCCACGGCACGGTTTTTGTATTTTGTTTCGGTCCCGTGCCGCAAAATCTTTTGAACCGCGCCAACTTTGCTCTTAAATTCGGTTCGTCGGTCGTTTGTGGTCATGTCGCCAATAGCTTCGGGGGAAATTTAATTCAAATAGAGAACGGAAGTCTGCTGTGAACAAGGCGAAAATTGATGGAATACTTTGAGGAACTCTCAAAAGAAGCGAGCGAGAAAAAGTGTTGCATTCTTTTGGGGATCCGCTTTAAAAAGCCAATGACCAAGGAATGCGAAGTGGGAAGTTTTCCCCATGTACACTGGGTTTACCGTCTCAAAGACGGTAACCTATTATAATTGCCCAGAATATTTACTTTATTATATCCGTAAATCTTTATATTAATTATTAACAAAAATTAATTTTTTAGATAAACTCTCTTGTAAAACTAGCTTTTTCATTTGATACAATTAATCTTGTTTCACTTTACTCTTTCCTTTCTTAAAGTAAGGGAAGTGCATGGCAACTTCTGGTTAAGCAGGCGTGACTTGGCAATGACAACCCAAGGAGCGCCCACCTTCAGTCCCAGAAGGAGCTTAATTAATTGAGCGAAATTAGACGGAAGACGGCGAAGCCCTTCACAAAGAGTTTGTTAGTCGTCGGGCCATCACCACCCACCATCAGCATCAGAAGTAGCATCAGTAGAGGCATTAGCATTACCATCACCAAGTTAATTACGCTCCCAAACATACACTTAGCTACACAGATAGGACAACATAGTGTACACTGAGATAAAGTTATCCAACTAAATTCAAGAATAAATCAAGTTATAGGGCTAGTACTCAACCCAACAAAAAGTCGTCAAAACAAAAACTTCATATGAAACAAAATTTTTTGACGTTGTTTTTCATATGAAGTTTTTGTTTGACCTTTGTTGGGTTCTATAATCTAAAATATTTTTTGACTTTCTAGGCCTATAAATATTTAAACGTTATAATGATGAAGAATAATAAAGGTGTTAATTAAACTTGTATTTTACGAAGCTTTTGTTAGGAACTGTGATTTAAATTCATGAATGAAATCAGTGTAATGCAAAGTAAATCTATAAATGGTAAGTATACTTTTTAATTTTTGACTAGATCTCGATCTTTTTCTCAGTGTATTGTGTAGGGACAGCTATTAGCACTAACCTTCTTCGGCGGCCTTCTCCTTCTCCTTGCGACGCTGCAGCACGACCTTCTTGAAGACCACCGCCGCGGCCTCCACTGCATTTTGCAACTCCTGTTCGCCCAAAGTGCTGGTGTGGGTGGCATCCTAATGATAATAATAAAAAAAAAGTTTTCCCCTTTAAGCCTACTTGTCTTCGGGCTTTTGATGTTCTGTTCTACTCACCGCCGAGCTGTTTGGGTCGCCTTGTTGCTCCTTGTTGGCCGAGGACTCGACGGACTTGCCGTTGACCGGCTGCTCCGCTCCAGAGGAATCCCCCTGGGGATTCTGGCTCTGATTCTGACTCTCCTCCTGGCTGGCTGAGGCTACTGAGGCGACAGGAATTTCTGTTTTTTTCAGGCGCATGGCTAAATCAGAGTTTCTATGCATAAGCTGTTGATGGAAGGAGTAAATGTGCTGGGGCGTGCTACCTGTGGGGGCGGTTAACGGGAAGGGGTGCAAAGCGTTCATCAATCGGGTGCCGGAACAAGCGCAGCTACTCAAGGTTCTACCAGGGACCGCAAGAATTCATTAATTAATTAATTCATTAGCCGTAAATACATAGTTATTTATGCGCAGGCAAATACTACTTTGGGCAGCCGAGGATGGGGCAACTATTTGTTTGTGGATATGGTTTTCGAAATTCGAATTATACTTGCTATTAGCTATTTTAAGTTTATTCTTTTGTGATTGATTAATTCAAATTGCCAGTTATATCTGTGTTTTTACTGAGTATCTACTTTTACTATTTAATTACAAGTCGTTTAAGGTTCGATTGTAAAATAAACAAATTTTTGAACTTATTTTCTTGGACTTCATTGACTTATTTAAACGAAACAATAAAACATTATTTAAATTAAAAAACGAAATACTTAAATTCAAATATAACAAAATTATAAAGGCTACATATATATTTACCAATCAAAATAAGGGTCGGTAACTATAATCACTTGAAACTATTTTTAATTTATTTTCATAATTTAATAAATGGGATACTACATTTGCATTAATTTGTAGTTATAAGCAATACGTGTGTAATTTATATGTTCTACATAATATAGCAACTACAAAATTTGATTCAATATGATTTTTAGACAATGATCGGTTATGTTATGAATCAACTCTGGGTGAAGATAAATGATGGGTGCTTGGTAAAAAACTGTTTAATAATTGCGGTCCCTGGGTTCTACGGATGCGTGGGCGCAGAATGCAACCATAGCTACTATCGAAACTGAAGTATCCTCCAGGACTTACCCTCCTCGGCCTCGCCGATTCCCGTGCGGCTGTTGCGTCGCCTTGCCTGCGGAATCTTGGAGTTGCCGCGCGTTTTGTCTAAGATATCAGCCAAAGGTCGTGGGCTGGGTATCTTTGAAATCTCCGTTTTCTTCGTTGGCTGCTCATAAAAAAAGAATCATTAATGATTTATCTGCCTTATGGTACTCGGAGGTATTCAACCCACCTGCGTGTCCTTTTCGGGATGCGAAAAGGATCGTCGTGTGACCGGCTTGGGTGTGGTCTTAGCTCCAGAGTCCTCTGAAACGGAGCGCATCTGCTCGGGCTTCCTTCTCTCGGCGGCATGGCTGTCGGAGGCACCTCCACTGCTGGAGGCTCCTTCGTTGCCCGAACCCTTGCCACTCGCATCCGAGACCTGCGACAGTTGGGCCAGTTCCTCCTGCTGCATCTGCAGCTCCCTGGACTGCCTGCGTCGGAGGCGATTGTGCATCAGTGGAGTTCGAGGCAGAGCGGCTCCTCCGTAGAAGCCCTGCGGAGTGCCCATATCGGGATAATAGCTGGGCACACCACCTGACCCAGAAGCACTGGCTCCCAGGCCCACGCCGGCACCTCCCCCGTATCCCGAATCGGCCAGGACATTCTCGGCACTGTAAATGGGTCTCTGGGAGGAATTCTGGTAGCTACCATCATCCGATCCATTGTTGTAGATAATGCGCGGCTCACTGCTGAATCCAGCGTTGTAGTTTCGCTCGTACTGCACCTCGTCGGACTCCAGGAAACTGGAGGCACTGTCGCCAAAGTAATCCACGTACTCCGGACGATTGTCCAGCTCCTCGGTGACATCGGGAAACTGATGGAACTGCTGCTTGGCCTCCCCGAAGGTTCGCTCCTCCTTGAGGCAATCTTGACGCACCAGACGACTGGGCGATCGACCTCCTGGTCGTTGAACAGCCGTCGGAATCTCCGGCAGCAGCCTCCTGTTCTCCGGATGTCCCTTGGTGTTCGAGTACTCCTCGTTGCTGTGGCTGCGCACCTTAATCATCTTGGCATGCGGATCCCTCGAGTGATGGATATTCACACTCTGGCTACTCGAGTACTGCTCACCGCCACCTGGACCACTGGTGCTGGCCACACTGCCTCCGCTGCCCAGATCTGTTCCTCCAACGGCGGGCACATGAGGCTGCGAGAGAAATTGCCGGGGATTCGGAACACTCGGGAAGAGGAAATTCTGCTTGGCCCTCGGCGAGATGGGCATAAATTTGGCCGGTGGCGTGGAGTGCACGGTGAGTGTGTTGCCACTGCTGAAGGCCTCCGGATTGGGCAGAGTCTGCTGGCGCTGCAGAAACTCCGGCGAACGTCGAAACTGCGGGGAAGTTTGTCGCTTTGGCGGCGATGTGGGCAACAGCTTGACATGCTGCTCGGGATTAGGCAATGTGGCCTGCCGCGTCATCCTCGGCTTGGGCATGGGACCTACGTCCTGCTCATCGCTGGCCAAACTGGATGCCTGGGATTCGTAGTTTAAAGGCGGTGGTGGAGCCACCACCGTCGCGGTTGGAGCTCCTGTGCTGGGCAGCAGCTTGGTGCGATGATAGTTGCTGCTCGGCGGCTCGGGGAACGAGGTCTGCCGCATGAAGGGCGGATAGCGCTGCTGCTCCCCCGGCGATCTTTCCGGGGAGCGACTGTACAGCCGGTTCGGGGAGGTGGACATGTATATGGCCGGAGTGGGCTGAGCTGGCAGCGTGGATTGGCGGCGCACCTGCAGCCGATGATGTGTGGGCGTGACCTCCAGTTGGGGTTGTTGCTGCTGCTGCTGCTGCTGTGCGTAGTTGTCGCAGTCACCCACTGTAACACCCACGCCCATTCCCATTCCGGGCATGGTGTTCATGTGGATGACGTCGTCGCTGTTGTAGGCGCTCGGGTAGAGCGGACTCTTCTGCAGCTGATGCGGCGATGTGGGCGCCGTTAGGTTAACGGAATTGTAGTTGGCCAGGTTGCCACCGCTGCCGCTGATTGTTGGGTCGTTGTTCAGGCTGCTCGGGAGGGTCGACTGACGCAGGACCCGGCGGCCCAGCTGCCACTTGCTGCTGGTGGTGGGCGTGGCAGTGCCACTGCCGTAGCCAAGGCCGTGCGTAGTGGGCCGCGGCTGGGGGGGCAGGTGGTGCTGCTGGTGGTGCTGGTGCAGGGTGGGGTAGCTGCCCGCCGACTGGGCCTCAATCAGATGCTGTTGCTGCGGGTAGAGGTTGTCTGCCACCGGCTGCTGCGAGTTGGGGTTGTTCGGATCGTCCTCGGGATCTGTCGGTGGATAAAGATTTTTAGTAATGAACTAACCAGGGACCGTAATCATTATAAGTGAAAAAATAAAAATCTCATTTTATTATTTTTTGTAAGGAAAAAATATTCTTCTGAAAAATGATTCTAATGTGCAGGATATTATGTTATTTTCTTTTAGTTTAATGGGATCAAATATAAAACCTTTTGATTGTATAAACGAATTTGAAATAGCAGCTATGATCAAGTTATTTAATAAGATTGAATTCTGGTTCCAAAAATTTGTAAAAATATAAAAAATCTTTTTTATCCGATGTATTGTAGTTAACTAATATTTATCAAGAAAATATTTATTTAAAAATGTGTATAAATATAAAAGATATTTTTTATTACGTTGTATTGTAGTTAATCAATATTTATCAAGAAAATCCCGAAATTAATAAAATCCGTATCCCTAATACGCAATGAAAGTAAAATCTATATTAAATCTATACTCACTCGATATGGTCCAAGAACGTCGGATGCTCTTCCTCAGGACGTCGCTGGTGGTCAGATGGTCGACGGCACTGCACGAGCCAAGGGCATAGGCGTCCTTCAGCCACTCGCCGCTGGCCGATTGTATCTCCCTGCAAGAGCAACAACATTGCCACTTTAGAAACCAGAAAACTTCGCCAAACATTTCCCCCCAAACGAAAGTTGGAGACGTCAAGCAGTCAACAGGTAAATCGTCGACTCAGCGGAATCAACGTCTGTCTGTTTAAGCGACAATTGGCAGACTGGCTGGCTGGCTTACTCAAAAGTACACCGAATGCCGGATTTACTGTGCCACAGCAGCAGCGGCAGCAACATGAGACACCAACACTCTGCGACTTTAAGCCAAGGTGTGAGTTCCATCGGAAGAGTTAAAGCCGGCACACTGTCTCGGGTTCGAACACAAACAGACAGAAATGTATATTTTTGGGAAACACTTTGCCAGTGAAACCACAACGGAAAAGTTTTTTGGCTCAAACACGAAGGAAATAATTATATGTTTAATGAATAAGTCAAACTTCAAGCGGAAGTTGGTCCTGTTTATCTCTAGCTTTAATTCCACATTTGAGTTTTAAGTAAAATTATAAACCAAAGAAATGAATTAAATGGAACTGCACATGGTAATAAAATAAACTTAACTGGAAAAGCTCATTTAATTTGTAAGAATGGCTTCAGGGCAATAATCCTTAATATATATCTTCACAAAACGAGTATGGTAGGAGTTTTTCATCAGAAAAAGCAATTTGTAAAGGGGTTTCAATACAGAAACATAATTACTAATTAATTATGAACGGATTCGTAGGTTCGTAAACGAATCAGTAAAATCAATGCGTGGTTGCCTTGGCACAATGATGAATATTGGTAAAATAAGAATTAAATGTCTGGCCAAAGATTCGTGGAATTATTGTATTTCTCCGGCCAGTCACTGTGCTTCTTTTTTTTTTTTTTTTGAGGGCGCAGTCGAGCAATTGAATAAATTCCTGCTGAGAGGCAGACGCAGATGCAGACGCCTTCCATCGACACATCGAGTGCCAGGAGGGGCCGGGCCCATCCATCGTAATCGTCATCGCAGTCATAATTATCCGGCTGCTGCAGCAGACGCGGCCAAATTTGGCTTCGGTTTTGGTGTGCGTCATGCGTGTTGACAGGCGTGAAATCGGCGGCACCTGTAGGCGACCTGCTGGATTCTTGGCTCGGGAAATCTACATGTATTCATAAGTATCTATTTGCCCTGCAGCTGCTGTCGAGTTGGCCAAGATTTAATTACTCAAATGTCTGTGCGTCGGTGGCCTTGCGAACTCAATACGGGCATTTCTCATCTGGGGAGTTGAATGTGTGTTTAATTTTTGTTCGTATTTTTGGGCCTCTGGCTCGCCCATTAACACTGAACCTTTTGAGTGTGGGTCGGCTGGCTGTCTCATCAGAGGCAATTGTTGTGTTGCCAAATGTTGGCACAAACCGAGAGCTGATGCTGTGCTGTGGTGACACAGGGCGTATGTGCAATGTGTGGGGTGGCTCATGTTTATGCTGGCGAAATGGGGACAGAACTCAACACATAGTACATAGTGCAGCTCATTAAACGGCCCGAACACTTGTTGACAGTTTGCTGTTGGCTGAATGAACACGTTTGGATATCCCATCTCTCTGCTTTGGTTGCAATTTTGCAATCCTTCGAGTTGCCTAATTGCAAAGTTATTTAATACAGGATGGAAATCCCTTTTTGGACCCAGAAAGTTATGCTTAATTACAAAATCATGTGTGGTGTTTTAAAACAGAGAATCATAAGCTGTGGACACACACATGCAAATTGAATTTTTAAATGAACTTGCTCTTCACAAACACGAGTGTGCATTTAAGCCGGTTTGCATCTCCAAAAACGGGGCAATCAAATGTGCAAAAGCAAACACAACTAGGCGAAAGCAAACCGTTTCAAATATTCAAAACTGCAAGGGCAACCGAAAAATGAACAAAAAATCTGCCGCATCAGTTGTGCGGAGTTTCGGTTGACAGTCTGTGACACCTGATGCCCACGGGCAGGGAGATGGGTTTAAATGGAAAATAAACAAGAGAACCATTTCTATCACCTTTCAATGCGCATAAACCTCTTCCTGGAATTAATTTCGGCATACGCAAGCAAGAGATTTTCTCTCGGTCCGCATGCAATTCCATACTTTGTTTTTCCATCAGGCCCCAACAGGCTTTGGGTGGCAGGTTTTGGCGACACAAAGCAACCGAAAGGGCATGCAAAATTAGATTGCAGCGTTGAAAATTGCAGCGTGTGCGCTACAAAGTCCAACGCACAAAAAAAAATGGAAAACAATTGCCAGGGCACAAAACTAGGATGTGAAAAGGAAAATACTCTTTTTTTAAGAAGGGATTCTAAAAATTGTACAAATTTTTACCTAACTAATTTTACCTAGTTAAAAAATGCATTTTTGTAGTTTTAATTTTAAATAAATTAATACTACAAAATATGGAACAACATTGTTTTCATACACTAAGTTTTTAGTATTGACTTGATAATTTAGCTGAAAAATCTCTAAAGATATGAAATTACAGAAAAGTGTTTAGAAAAGTATGAGTTACGCAAATATCCTAAGGACTTGCTGTGGTATAATTTTAGACACTTTTTTTGGTAGTATTAAACCTCTATATCTTTTTTAGAACATCAAGAGGTCCTTTTTACAGGGTATTCCACCACCACATAGAAAATCATGCCCCAACACGAGCAGAAGGACACAAAGTAGTGTTTTGTTGTTTGGCTTAGTTTTCGTGTGCGTGAGTTGAATGGTTTGGACGCATTCACAGAGTTTTGCGAGTTTTAAGTTGACAATGAAAGTTGGACAGACATATAGACAGAGCGATATAGAAAGAGAGCAGGACAGACAGAGGAAGTGACAGAGACAGGAAGAGAAACAGAAACAGAAACAGGGGCAAGGACAAAGACACACTTACATTTGCTTGTGGCACACAACGCACACCCAGTCCGTGGTGCGCGATGTGAATTCGCGACAGGCTTTGCACACGCGCAGTTTGCAGACGCGACAGGGGGCACCTCGGTTGGTGATGCGACCCAGTTCGGTGGTGCAGCGGGCGCAGTGGCGACTCGGGTCGCTCGTGTGTGCGTTGTGGTTGTTGTGTTGTTCGAGCTGTTGTTGTTGTTGATTGGGCTGCATGGTTGTCTGTTGTTGTTGTTGTTGTGTGGCATCGAGTGGCTGCACTCCACCAACGACCTTGGCCGCACCCTTACGCCTCAAAGCATACAATTCGGCGCGCAAGAGCCTGTTGTTGTTGTAGTTGTTGAAATTTGGTTGGAATTGTTGTTGAAGTTGTTGTGTGGTGACATTTTGACATTTTTTGATATTTTTGGAGTTGTGAGTGGAATTACATTGATTGTGGAGGATTCGTGATTGTTGAAATTAATATGGGGTTGTTGTTGAAATTAATTTGGGGTTGTTGTTGAAAGTGGAATAGAGAATATTGTTGGTGTTGCGTTATTTACCGAAGTGGTTAGGTTGGAGGTTCGGTGATTGCGTGATTCATTGTGGTGTTTGACATTGTTGTTGTAGTTGTTTAAATTGCAGGGGTTAAAGTGGTTTTTGTAGTGGGTCGTTGTGGGGGGTATTTGGTTTCATGTTTCGGGTTGGTAACATAATTACATGACAGACGCATGGACATTTTAGTTAGATTGTTGGTTAGGGACGAAAACACGTTACAAGAGTTAACATGACATTTTTCGACAGTTAAAAAGAGAGAGTAAGAGAATGAGAGAGACAGAAAAAGCGGCAAGCGTGTGTATGGTGGGTATTAGGGTGTGAGTGTGTGTGAGTGCGTGATGTATGTGTAATTGAATGGAAAGAGACAAAGAATAAAAAGAGCACACAAAAAGTTGTCATTAGTTGATTTAGTAGCAATTTAATCGATTTTCGAATTGAATTTTGGTTAATTTAGGTTAGATTGATTGGTTAAGGCAACATTTTTCACGTGCGCAACACATTTGTAAGTGAATTAAAATGATTAGCCATGACACAATAAATCAATTAAAATTTGTTGCAGCAGGATGTGCGCAAAATGTAAGCTTGAGGTAAATAAAAAACATGAATGCAGATAACTTGTTGGTTGTTTGGCATATGGATTTTGAGTTTTCCTTGGCATGGGGAATAAAGCGTTTTGAAGTGGCGGTCTTAATCCTTTGATTTGAGAAATATATTTTCAGTTTGGTGAATATATCATGTGCCCACGAGCTGATTTTGAAGTCTTAACATCGATGTCGAATGGTGAATTTACAACTCTTCCAAGGACATTCATTTGACCCCAACGTCGCTAATTTGATTAATTTCGAACTGGACAATGTTGCCTAATTAAATGCCCCTTTCCTGGGACCCAAATTATTCAAATGACGCACATGTAGGTGAAAGTTGGCAATCCAATTAAATCGGCAATCAAACGTAAGTCGATGCCCGGTTGGCAAATTAAGTTTGAGGTCCCTCCCTGTCCTATCCTACTCCGTTCTCTCGGGATTTTCGGGTATTTGGTAGCCCCACGGCTCTTCCTTAAGCCGGCTGGTTTATATTAACGTGCAGCTGGCAGGCGAGAGCTATAAAACATGGCCAAGAGCTGCTGACACATAAAACAAACACATGGGTGCGTACAGCAGCGGAAAAAATAGTAACCCTAAAGAGCCTATCAAAGCATTTGAATATTTCTCGGAATTTCCCTTATAAATCGAAGTTAGTTTAATATCAACCGTTAATTAAATCAAGATAATATAATAATATAAAATAATACAATATTATTGATGTGTAGCACTGAAAGTAAAAGGATAACGAATTTGGCAACCCTATTATTTTGACCCTTACTGTGGCCAAGGGCGATGATGTGATGTGCCGGTAAAGGAGTCACGCAGAGCTCATAAAAATCCAAAGCAGGACTTTGGTTTCTGTGTAAATTATGTTGCCAGCAGCCGTAGTAACAACAATTTTTAATTATAATTTTATCTGCAGCCGAGCATCGGGATTGGAGTGCGTGCGAGCTTTATTAGCGCCACAAAATCAGCAAACGACAAACGGCAGCCACAGAGCCTAGTGGAGCGGCCATCAAAACGGCAGGAAGCGGAAACGAAACCGAAAACCGAGGCCAAGCCAAAACTGTTGCATACTCCCAGGAGCACAAACACAGCCAAAGGAGCACTAGAATGGCGAACTAACCGCCGACCACAGCCCCGCAGCCGGGGACATGTTTTATTGGCCTGGTTAACGCATAGAGTCTGCACCCACCGACAAACAGCAAAGGCACGCTGGTTTTTGGCCCCCAACCCTTTCAGCGCACTGCAAAAAGTACATTATTGTTTTTTTTTTTTTAATTTATAACTCATTTTAAATGGATAACTACCGTACAGTTTATTGTATTGAAAATGTAGCTGATTAAAGTAAAACTCAATTGAATTGCTTTAGACTAGATTAATAAAACAGAATATTACGAAAATTACTTCTTCCTTCTTAGTTCATTTTATAAATATTTTAGAAATTATTTAATGACGTGGAAAAGAATCGATTCATAATAAACGGGCCTTTAAACCTAATGTACTTAAATCAATTATAGTTTTTTACGAGTTCAATGAGATCCTTCCATATTTTAATATTTATTTCTCAAAATTGTGGATTAAAAACGCCGAATATTCTGAATATTTTAAATGTTCTTTATTTATCTTTATAAGCTATCTTTGAAAGCTATTCCCCAAAGAAATTTTTCGCCGTGTAATCGTGCTCATGTTTAATGTGCCATCTGTTGGCATGTCAGGATCGCATATACATCGATAATGTAAATTAAATCAATTATAGTTTTTTACGAGTTCAATGAGATCCTTCCATATTTTAATATTTATTTCTCAAAATTGTGGATTAAAAACGCCGAATATTCTGAATATTTTAAATGTTCTTTATTTATCTTTATAAGCTATCTTTGAAAGCTATTCCCCAAAGAAATTTTTCGCCGTGTAGTCGTGCTTATGTTTAATGTGCCATCTGTTGGCATGTCAGGATCGCATATACATCGAGTGTGCGCTGTGGCTGTGAGTCGAGATGTGGCAATGGAAGTGTTCGCTGTCGCATGTTCAAGTGCCCAAGTGCTGGGTGGTGTAGTAATAGTTGTAGCTACACGACCAGCACGGCTGCGTTATGAATTAATAATCATAATAAGCCATTAGGGCGTGAGCCACAGCAGGAGCAGGATCAAGAGCAGGAGCAGGAGGAGCAACAATGGGCTGCCAAAAAGTGCTAACTCTAATGGCCATAAATTCACAGTGACCATGAAAGCGGTGCCAAAGACCTGGATTAGCATTAGCCCAGACCCAGGCGGCCTTTGTTGTGTGGCGGAACAGTTTTCGGTTAAAATATGATTAAAAACCCTAACACGGCCTAAACAAATAGCGTTACGCATGTTTTCGAATGTCCCGTACCGAATTCTCCGCTCTGCGGGCTTATGCAAATAAGCAACTAATTAAACTGATGTAAATCAGCTGCGTCCTTCGTCCAGGATCCGGGTGGGGTCCTCATTTTGGTCGGGCGTGTGACCTTTCGGGTCGAATCGAACACCTGCTCCAACGGCAAGGGCAAAGGCAAAAACACCGCAAAGCGATGGCTTATTAGATATCAAAGAAGAGATAACATTTTCAGAGTCCTGCTCGGGCGCTTTGATGTTGCCATGGGGCAGCAGACAACAGGCAAATAATTCGCTGCTTTCAGAGCTTACAACTAATGCAATTGGTCTGACTTCAAATGCCAAGGATTTTATTTTGCAAAATAAGGTCTGATTAAATATTTGCACCAAACAAAAATCGAAGTTGGAGCTGGGTGGGTTTCATTCATTGCTTCAATTTAATTTTCTTAACATGAAAATTTGTCATATTTATATTGCAGCTTATTACAGATTTGTTTTGACGAATTCACAGTTTCTACGTGGTTTTGAACTTTAATCGATTTTCCCGGAACTCATCAAATATTTCCGGGAAATGCGTATTGATGTGTAAAATATTAATGAATTGTAGGAGGACATATTTATCGTAAACATTTAGTTTTTCACTGAGCAAAAAGTCTTTAAAGTTTATTAAAACATATCATCCGATTTTTCTTGAATTCTTTAAGCTTTAAAGATTATTCAAAACCTGGAAACGTTTAATTTATTCATACTAATTTCTAGATAGTACATTTCTTTTTAAAGGGCATTTTGTGGCATTTTTAAGCCTTAATATTTGTCACAAGCACTTAGTATTTAATAAACAACTTTAAATTGGTCAGGTATTTTCCGCTTCCCCGCTGGTGATAAATTATTCCCCAACCTCTCGCCTTTCTCCGTATTCCCCCTAGATTTTCCACTGAAATATGCCATAATTCAAATCATTCCCGACCACAGTCAACGGCACTGGTCGTTGGCAGCACCGGCTTGTCCATTAGATTTACGATTTTAATGACGCCCAGGCACTGGCGCTGATGTGCCAGAGAATGCGAATATAAATAATTACCAGGCTAAATATGATTTGTCGAGGCGTCTGGAGTGGACTGCTGGATGCTGGCCGCTGGATGTTGAATTTCGGATGCTGGGGCAAGGACAATGGCCAGTAGCTAAGGCAATGGCCAGCTAGCCGTGGGTCTCGCGTTTCCGTTTCAAATTAAAACTTTTTGACAGCGTTGCGAGGCAAATACGAAAAAAAAACCAAACTTGAGACAGCCGGGGGCGTGGCTTTTTAAATGTATCGCAGGTGCTTTAAGTTAAAGCGGATACGACCGGTCGAGCACCGGAAATGGCCTGCCATTTGCGCGCCTTTTAATTATGCAATGCACGACAAAATGGCGTCACTCCACGGCCCGTGTGCATGTGTGTGGAAGTAAGTGCTTGAAAATGTTATTAGTTTTAATTAATTTTAAATGTGAGGACTAAAACGCGGTAGCCGTCCGGAACACGCAACCAGCCAAAAAAGAGAAAAAAAATAAACGTATATACCTTCGTGTTTTACCACGGGCAGCGTTTTGCACTTATGCAGTTTGTAAATTATCCTCTTTGTTGGTTGACTTTTTGTTCCTGACACAAACAGCGCCGAAACACAAATATGTTGCCGTGCCGACGAATACGCTGGGCAAATCAAATTAAATGCGAATTTTGTTGAATTTAAAGCACTCGTCGCACACGTGTCGTATGTTTAATGGCCCAGGACCATAAACCTAAATAAACGTGGCTGCCGCTCGCCTTTTTTCGAGTAT